CTCCGGCCCCCCACACACAATGACACACACACCGAACGGAGGAGCCGCCAAGCCGCGCCGCGTAAACGGAACCCCACGGCCATGCAGGAGGCTCAAACGTCTGCCGCGCACAGACAAAGCCCCCCTAACGTTCGCTAAGCTGCACATGTAGTGCGCGACGCGGGTACGCACGCCCGCAGTATCGGGGCAGAGGAGCGGAGGCCCGCCAAACTCGTTGGAGTTGCCGCTGAGTCTGTGCCGGTCCAAACATCCCCCCCTCCCCCCCAATCCCCATCTGGGAAGCGCTGGTGCCGCTTCGTCTGCAATACACAGTCCCCTCCCCATTTCCGATTTAGCGCTTAAAAAGCCGCGCACAGTCGCACACGCATATTGTCACATCCTCTCTCAAAGTCCTCCAAAGCAAACGCCACCTGCAGTTACTTCCCCCAAACGTTACCAGACCACCCCTACGAATCTCGTTCTGGGCTATAACAGAAGTTCCTTCCAAGTTTCTGCTCCGTCTGCACTCTATGCTAACCGCCACAGCATGTTTGTGCGTGTAAGGGCACCACCATGCTGCAGACACTGCCAAATGTCAAGTCGGCTATCAGTCGCGAAGAGTACGCACACGCAAGCAAATCCATACCGACATCTCCTGAGTCCTGACTCCTAGTTCACGAACTCAGTCCCCATCACATCACAAATTCAGTTCACGAATTCATTCACCATCACATCACGTATATACCAGAGTCACGAAGTCCTTCACCACTGCATCACGGGTGCGTCAGAGTTCATGAAGTCACTCCCCTTCGCATCACGACTCGTTCCGCGTTCACGAAGTCACATCCCCTTCACATCACGGCTTCTTCCGAGTTCACGGAGTCACGCCCGTTCACATCACGACTCCTTCCGCATTCACGAAGTCACATCCCCTTCACATCACGAGCTCTTTCGCGTTCACGGAGTCACGCCCGTTCACTTCACGACTCCTTCCGCGTTCACGAAGTCACATCCCCTTCACATCACGAGTTCTTTCGCGTTCACGGAGTCACACCCATTCACATCACGACTCCTTCCGCATTCACGAAATCACATCCCCTTCACATCACGACTTCGTCCGAGTTCACGAAGTCATTCACAGCCCTTCACCATGACGCGGTGAGCGTGAGTGAGTGTGAGTGAGCGAGTTCGTGAGTGACTTCGCCGAGGTATGCGTGAGAGGCGCTCTGGCAGCTGGAAATCGCCTGCTAGCCGCACGCTTCGTTTACTTTTAAAGCGCAGCTCTTAGGCGCCCGTTTCCGGCTTGACCGGCGTCGGCGTCGCCGTAACCGCGCGGTGCATTATGGGAAAATTTTCCCCGCCAAATTTAGCGGAAAATTTCCACGCTAGATTTAGCGGAAAAATTCCCCGCGAAATTTAGCGCAAGTTTCCCCGCTAATTTTAGCGGGGAATTTTTTCCGCTAAAAGGGAAATTTTCCCGCTAAATTTAGCGGGGAATTCTTTCCGCTGTAGGCGTCGAGCGCCGAAAACACAAGAAGAGGAGCGCCAGGTCGGGTAGCGCGCGACACTCGACAGAGCGTGCAGCACGGCCGACGATCTCGACGGGTACCGAAAATATCCCTCATAGCGTTACATATTGTAAAGTACAAATAGTGTAAATAAATGTGTAGGGCCTACACTTGGTCCCTACACCGGAATTTTCCCCTCAATGGGAGGCGAGCAGGAGAGGAGGAGGGGCATGGCCTCTCCCCGTACCTTCCCCTCCTCCTCCTCAAGAGCCGCGCTCTAAATCGGCGTTACAGGGGATTGTAACCGACTTTCATATTTTATATGGTAAATTATAGGGTTTATTTTGTTGCCGTGTCCACTGCTACACAAGTGTTTTGCGCAGAGAAGCGCAGACGTGCACATACAACGTACATGTTCCGTATGTAGCACAAACAGACACGTATTTACCAAAGTACGCTTTAAGCGCGCACATCATCAATTAACTCATGGCGCTTGTTTATTGCCTGATAATGTTCATCCCACTGAGAAGAAAACAACACTCATTCACCTCGTCACTTGGACGTCCGGGCAGTAGGAAAATCGTCCGCAGATTATGACCTTAAAATTACAAAAAAAAAAACAAAAAAACCTTACCGTCATTACTCGACTTTAATACGTTCAAATGTTGGTGTAAAATATAACATACGTGAGCTTTGTCGTTACTTCATTTTAAATAAACCTTGTTGCTTGTTTCTTAATCTTTCAGTGTGTGTGTGTTCCGGGGGGGGGGGGGGGGGGGGTCTACTTTTCAGTATCTAAACCGTTTGATTGGACAGTCATTTCCTCCTAAGCTCCTACTACTATACTTTTAGGTGAGAATATATATGTATATATATGGTATATATTAACGTAGTGGTTTGCCAACCTGCCCCCAGGCCCGTCTGAAACGCACTTGTAACTTTGAAGTCTCCCCAAGTGGTTAGTCTTTAGTGCAGAGTAGTATCACCCATTATCTGCTGTAGTACCATACAGGACTACAACAGATGGTATATTAAACGGCCAACCACTGTATTTGTTCTGCGACTTCCTGATGCTGGCCATGTATCTTTGCGAACTTCACCGACAGCTGCGGACTAGTTATTGGCCGCGAGATACAATCGACACACGCACTGCAGCGAAAACATGCCGGTGTTCTACTTTTGCCTCTGCTTCAAGAGCAAAAAGGTCACGAACGCCCTATCAAATTTTCGGATTACGCCTATCCTATGAGGCAAATCGTTCCGTAAAACCGCCTCACATATCAAAAGAGCAAACTCTCCTACACGTAGTTAAAGCCGGAGAAGACGGAACTAAAGGGACAGAACAACACCGTGGTTTGGGAATCATTCATCAACACTGCAGCCAGCCAAGTGTCAAGACTACATAACCTAGTGAAGATGAGGTTTCGATACCGTACCATTAGAGGAATCGCCGATGACCAGTGTTGTACGGAACGGCGTTCCAAGGAACGACGTTCTTGGAACGCGTTCCTTTCAGGAGGAACGGAGGAACGCCGACGTTCCATTTTGCATAGGTGGAACTGGAACGGGAACTCGTTACATTTTTACTGGAACTAAAAAAGGAACGGGGTTCCTTTTTTTGTCCAGTGGGGTATTTTTTTTTTTTTAATTTCCAAGCGGGAAATCCTAAAAGTATAAAAAATATCTCTACGAAGAGCAGAATCTCGTTAACTTCTTGGTTAATTATCTTAGGGTGCAGTAACAGTCTGCATGGTGCAGTAAAGCTAGTGGACACTGCTTCGTTTTTCAGCGCCCGAGACTGCGGTACAAAAAGCAAAACTTTTAGTCAAACAAAAAGACACAGAAAGAGGGACGTGTCAAACTCGGCTAATTTCTTTGCTTCCACTAATCCTCATACACATAGAAATATAAGGCCGACTATAGCCATCACTGAACTTTCACAGAGACCTAGAGTTACAACAAAAGAACATGTTGCCAGACATCGAACGCACCCTTGTATCCCGAACATTGGTCACTTAAAAGATACACAAAAAAATTAACCTTTAATCCTTTTCCCCTAGCCCCCCACCTTCAAACCGAAAATCGAATCCAACCTTCATGAAGAAGGACTTGTAGTTTTCAAGACTGATCTTCCAAAAGTCCTACCCCCTTTTTCACTTGATCGTTTTGAGGATAGCAATATCGAGAAGCAACTGTTGTTAACTTCGAACAAGGGACTTTGTTAAATTAAAACCCGTAAGGTTGTAAAACGTTCGTGCAATGTGGGGTAACAGTATATTTTGCTCGTCTGACTTCGCCCACCACAAACATGAATATGGTTAAAAAAAATTTTAAAGGTGAATATATCAACAATGGAAACCCTGCTTCGCGTGCTTTCTTCTACTCGTGCCCTTCCATCACGGCATTCAAATTCGTATGTTGCCATTTGATGGGATAGATTAAAAAACAACTTTGATCTATCTTACTAAATATAGTAATCATCAAAATTGAAATGTAACGTATATGTAACGATACGTTCCATTTTTTTTAGCTGTAACGGGAACGAGTTCCTTTTTCACATAAGGGAAGTGTAACGGGAACGCGTTCCAAAAATCAGAAGGAACGAGGAAAGAGCTTTCGTTCCTTTTTTCGAGGAACGTGTACAACACTGCCGATGACCTATTACTGGGATAATGATCGAGAGTGTACAACTCTTTTATGCATGAGGCAAGGTTGGCATTGCTCCTTCTACATCCCGCTTTAAAATCAGACAACAAGAACTAGAAAACAAAACCGCATGAACATCGTAGTGCTTGTTGCCTATTCCCAAATTGTATAAATTGTGCCTCTGATGATGACTGCCATCAGCTGCAATTGCAAGATTAAACATGCAACTACCCATTAAAACGAACGGATTTGAGTTAATTTCAGTACAGCCTTGTGGCTCTATGGGGGATAACTAACAAATTATCCACCCCCCCCCCCCCCCCCAAGTCCGAAAAAAAAAACACAGTGAGGACGCCATTCATGTAACGCTCACTGTCAGAATGAAAAACAAACGCAGTGTATACCACGAATAACAAGTCAATAATCTTTATTATTTGGTCCATAAAAATGAGAAGATTGGCCAACCGTCTGATTCCCCTAGCGAAAAGAAAAAAAAAGGAATTAACAAGCATTTAAGCACACCTTAGAAAGAACTAATACGTCTAGCCAAAATATGACTATCACGAGCTGATCTCAAAATCATCCAAGTTATCGCAGTACATAGAAATTGTCGCATAGATATCGGCATCTGGTACTTTTTTGACATGTAACATTAATTCTTAAAGGTATAAACATTTTTCATACCAATATCCACATATGAAGTGCCCCTCAAACCATCAAGTCAGAGGTAATAATTGAAAGACCCACATGCATTTGCTTTTATGACCATATTTCTCAACATATTTTTCTTATAAGTAACTTAATTTAGGTTCAGAGAGACTAAATATAAAATACTATTTAGAGGCCATACCGAAGACCCTAAAAAGGAACATTGTAAATAGACACAAAAAATGAATTAGAGCGCAGCTCTTGAGGAGGAGGAGGGAAGGGGACGGTAGGCCCCTTTTCCTCCCTCCTCCCGTGCTCCTCGCGTCCTCCTCCTTCCCGCTCGGTGCATTATGGAAAATGTCCCATAATGCAACGCGCGCGTCACCACGGTGCATTATGGGACGTTTCCCATAATGCACCGCGCGGTTACGGCGACGCCGAAGCCGGAAACGGGCGCCTAAGAGCGGCGCTCTAAAATGAAAGATGTTTACAAATCTTCGTAATGCGAAATTAGAGCGCAGCTCTTGAGGAGGAGGAGAGAATACAGAGGAAGGGTATGCCCCTGCTCCTCCTCCATTCCCTGCTCTCCCTTCCGCCTCCAATTCAGCTTCCTCGCTAAATTCAGCGGGTAAAATAATGTCACGCGGCTTGAAGTAAAGTCGCCTATGAACAAATTCAGTTTCTCCGTTAGATTCAGGGGGAAAATTGATGTCGCGTGACCTCAACACCAATTCAATTCCACGCTAAATTTAGCGGGGAATTGAATTGGTGTTGAGGGCACGTGACGTCAATATTCCCGCTAAATTTAGCGGAGGAACTAATTTGTCTGCTAAATCTAGGGGAGAAACTGAATTTTCCCGCCAAACTTAGCGGAAATCGAATTGGTGTTGAGGTCACGTAGCGGGGCATTGAATTGGTGTAGAAGTCACATGACGTCAATTTTCCCGCTAAATTTAGTGCGGTTAAGCCGACGCCGCGAAACACGGAAACGGGCACCTAAGAAGTGCGCTCTAAAAACAACATTGGACATTGCCTTGACTATCCAATGAACTTCACAGGCATAAGCATACAATAACAAAAGTATATTTTTCGTCCATGAAAATAAAATAACCATTTCCTTCTGCGCTGGTAAAACTACAACATGAGTATCTTTTAAAGCAATAAAAGCTTCAAGGCAATGTACAATAGTTACTAGGTCTTCTCAAGACAATAAACAAATGTAACCGTTTGAAAAATTATTGACTATAAACGGTGCTAGGAACAGAGCAATATAAAGATTTGTTTCTTAACTTGTAACGTAAGCCTCTAAAAAAACAATATTTGGCAGCGAAATGAAATGACCTCGAACAGTTGCATCACTCGGCAGTCTCTGCAAGGCAGATGCTCAAGATCACAAAGAAGAGTCCCCCTTCTCATTATTTACAACATTGAAAATATGTATGAGCTCTCCATAAACTGCAATTGAAGGGAGGTCCACCGCATGAAACTCACACAGGAAGTATTGTATAATCCTACCTAAAACCTAACAGAGCCCAAATGTTAAAGCTCACCCCTTCTCATTCAAACATCAAATACAACGTTGTTTTTTAAACAAATTATATGGAGATGTCGAAAAGAATTCTAGTCAAATGTAAATGCAGTGCCCCAAGAAGGTACAACGCATGAACTACTAGTGCTACCGAAGGCTCTCCTTCAGCTCGGAAGACAAAAAAGTGTAACAAAGAGGTAACAAAGCCTCAAACGATACCCTTCTCACAGCAAGCTAAGCACCAACCTCTCTACACAAAGTATCCATCCCACTGCCACACAACCTATGGTTTTTCTTCACTTTATGTGTGAGCAAAGCCGAAGCTAGAAGCAAGAACATGCTGTCCTGAACTATGCTTGCACTGCACGAGCTTGCATGCTCGGTAGTATGCCGAAAGCCTGGAGCTCACTCATGTAACTTCGGCCACGCTCGCACCTAAAGCGAAACCGTGTCAATCACACCACCAATGTTCCATCGACACATCAATGGAATCACTGCATATCTTCGAGGAAGCGTCCCACATGCTTTGCAACCAGGTCTGCCTGGTTCATGTGAATGTGATGGTTTCCCTCGAGCTGAAGATACTCAAACTTGCGACAGTTCTCTTCACACACGTCCAAGACTTTTTGGTGCCACACCGAACAGAAACCGATCCCCGGCAAGGCATTCAGCACGAGCAAATCATTCTTGTACGCCTTGACATATTCCAGGATTTCAGCACGATCAACTTTACTCCAGGAGATAGCCCTAAGGCGGGGGTCTTTGGTGAGGATAAAGCGGCCGTCGCCGATGGACACAGAGCCACGATTGAGGATCGTCTTGGCGTCTTCGGGAAGGTAGCCCCAGGACGACGTCTTCATGTACAGTTGAACCAGCTGCTCCTCCGTGTAACTCGGCTGACTCAGCGGATCTTTATCTTCGATACGCATGGACTCGAGCATAGTGGTCCGGAACGTCTTGAGGACCATGCTCGGTGGACGGCATGTGGGTGCCAGGCTGTCCATCATGACAACTTTCTTCACCTAGGGTTTGAGAGCAAAAATGTGACTGTCATAAACTATACTCGTCCTCCACCCAAGAGGAGTAGTGAAAGAAGTCCGGCTCCACAGGGATCATCACTAATTTCTCGCTTCGTGTATAGAATTAGGATATATGTCGCTGCATTTTAGACTAAATATATGAGCACACGTTTTAAATGGCACAGGCACCACTTCTTTGCTCAGACAACCAAATCTTGTAAAAGCTACTCGCGGCGTATGAACAATGCACAAGACTTAGTTTTTTGGTGTTGTTTTTCTAGGTGAAAGCATGTATAATCACCAGCTTAAGACAAACTGCTAAAAGTGTATAACTCATGAAAATGTCATCAGGTTTTGAACAAGCCTCCTTACTAGATAATATTGCAAGCTGACAAGTTATTAATTTATTTACACACGCAGCCAGTTACCATTTGGTGGCCAAGGCAGGAAAGGTCATGCATAAGGAATTCTAACCGCATAAAATAAACGATAATTATGAAAGTGAACTTTAAGATTAACAACGTAGCACTGGTATAAATTCCCGGGTAGATTAGAAGAATGCTCCACTCGTTAAGAAATACGTGACGAAGTTATATTCTAAACGGTCGCTTTTAATGAAAAATACCTGCAGGTACTGCAAACCTATTCTCGACTAATTATCATGTCAAGCAAAATCTGTTTTATACCAAAGTGGGCCGGCCATTCGCACCAAATTGTGATGTTAAACAAAATCCGATTGTTTTAACGTATAAACAAATCTGTGCACATGCTAATTCCTGGCAGGCGGTTTTTACACAAACAGCTAAAGTTACAGCAAGCCATCGCAGGACCGATATAAGTGCTCGTAGTAATTTAATTCTTATAGCAGAGTTTCTTGAAATCATGTGAAATGACATCAGACTCGGGTAAGAAAGCCAAAAAAAAAATTCACAAGTTAAGAGCACAGAAAGCAGACGACACACAGGCCATGCCTCAATTTGAGACAATGCCTGTCTAGCTCCACTTCCTTTCACCTTTTCTTTATTGTATCGGTCAACTCAATTCTGTCTTGGCTTATCTGATGACACGCTAACCTTCAACCAGCTTGCCTGCACTCTCACTGTTTCTTTTTTTTTTTTTTTACATTTAAAGGGAGGACATTACCCAGGGGGGAGGGGTCAACTATTGAATCTCTGGCATAAAATGAATAAAATCAAGTGTGATTGCTAGTCATGATAAAGGATGCAGTGCAAAATATCAGCTCTGCACATTAATTTCAAAGGACATTACAACAGTTTAGACGAGGGCCATAAAAACACTGCTTACCTAAAATACCGAGCATGTGCCCATGTACCAAAAATGTTGCGCCTTCACCCGCTACTTTTTGAAACATTAAAAAAAGAAACGACATATCAAGCGCCTGACCCAGACTTCTGAGCACACCTGGCTTCAGTGCAATGCAATGAAGCTTGACATGTACCGAAGCTTGACATGTACCCGCTGGTCCTAAGCGGTAAAACCTACACTACCTCGTGACACCTCTGCATTCCTGCTCTTGAACCTTACAAGTGTCCATCCTACAATGTTTCATGATCCTCTCTAACTTTTGGGTGCACACTTGCTTGGTATTTTATGGTGGTCAGCCAGCAAAATAATACCATGTTCAGCATTTCGTTTCATAGGTACAAAGCAGAATGTCTGTCTGAAGAGTAACAGCAAAAAGGACTTTGTAAAAAAATTTTGTTCATAAAGTTATTTCTCTTTCTCTCATTCACTGTATTATATATCCGAGGCAAAGCAATATTGTGTATTAAAGACATCAATAGAGCAAGAAATCAAGTCCACCAATGCATTCTTATTAAATTTAAGTCAGGAAATACAAAGAGTACGCATTTCCCTTAGTTCAATTATCAAATGATAGGTGAACTAAAATTAAATTTACGCTGAAAAAAATAGAATGTAAAAAAATGTTATATTATAATGCAATTAAATGCAAAGGTGCAAGCGAGCTGGACAAGAATGACGAAATTAATCCCTGGAGAAGGGGAACAAGGGGGACAAAGGACAAACATAAATCTCCAAACTACAGCTAGGTGACTGGTGAGCGACCGAAAAAATCCGCCTGGTCCGGGTATGGAACCCGGGACCTCTCCATTACAAGTGGAGCGCTCTACCAACTGAGCTAACCAGGGGTTAGACGTCAGCAGACCCGGACCAGGCGGATTTTTTCGGTCGCTCACCAGTCACCTAGCTGTAAATTGGAGATTTATGTTTGTCCTTCGTCCCCCTTGTTCCCCTTCTCCAGGGATTAATTTCGTCATTCGTCGTAAAAAAATGCTTTCGAAGTGCCTTTTTACATCTCACCAAAGTCCTAAAGGTAATAAATAGACAGCAAGTAAACTACATAGCAGAAACGCATTTAACTTCGTGGCAATAAACCTCACACTTAACTTAAAGTAAATGCAACATACCTGCCGTTCCTCAAAATCAACTTTTCTTTTACAAAAAACAAAAAAAAAAAGAAAAATCTACTTCTACGGGTTATGTTGTTACACTGCTAATACAGCACTTGAAAGGCCGTCTGCAGACTGTCTACGAACTGTCAGCAGATATGCTGATTGATTGATTTTGCACAGATCAGGCACGTACAGGGCAGCGTGCAAGGCGAAGCAGAGAAGTTAAAACCATTACACCTGTGCGGCTGCTTGCCTGCCGCTGTGTACATTAGAGTCACAAAATGATATCCAGAAAACTAAAAGTTGCTTGAAGCATGAAGCGTGCAGAACATGCTTGAGGCATACCATGGTTCAACGTGCTTGAGATATTTCTGCAAATAATTCTGTCAAGCTGCTAACACTGTGCCTTTTGTACGATGTAGGAACAGTGTCACTGAAGTTTCACAAATACTACCACAAACACTCGTCGGACACCCACCTGATCCGGAAAGAGGTTGGCGTAGAGCCGGGCAAGCGCTCCGCCCATGCTGTGTCCCACGAGGCAGAACTTCTGCCAACCGAGGAACCGCACCGTCCTGACCATGTCGGCCACAAAGTGGTTGGCCGTGTAGGCGCAACCTTTGGGAAGGTGGGACGACAGTCCGTGCCCCGTGTAATCTAGCGCCACCGCGCGCCACCTCGCGTCCAGCTTCGGCAGCAGGAAGTCGAAGCTCCCGGCGTTGTCCTGGTGGCCGTGTAGACAGATCATTCGACGCTCCGGATCTTCGCAGGGCACGGGAAGCCACTCTTTGGCCGCCAGATGGCCGTAGGGGACGGGTATTTTCAGTTCCGCCGTTGGACGCGCCGAGACGTCGCTGTGACGGAGGCGCTTCAAGCCGTCGTGCGTGCAAGGACGTGCCCGCGGCGTTGCGCGGCCGCATCTGCCGCGATCGAGAAGGTTGAAGGTGCGATTAGTGTAAACGCTCGCGTAAATATAAATGGGCGAAGATTAACGCAGCTATAGTCTTTAACCAGGTGAGAATGACGAGGCATCTTTTTCGAACGGCCGGCCTTCGGAACGCGCTTTGGCTGCGCAGGCACGCTCGAGCCTCACGAGACGCTGAAGTGTTATCGAGGGTAGAAAGATCACTCTAGAAGCGGCACAAGTCAAGGAGCTCCCTGCCATACTCCCCAGGTAGCACCCAATGTCGTGCGAACATTCCCTGGATGTTCTGATAATGAAGGAACGTTAAAACACCATTCGGAACGTTCTAGGAACGTTCGTACGTGAACATTCCTTAAAGGCCGACCAAAAGACTCCAGATTCTGCAAGGCAGAAGATCGTCCTCACCATGGGGGAGGAGAAAACATGCAACGGTGAATATAATAGAAGGGGGGAGAGGAGGAACCGAGGGAAAAGTGGAAAGCGAGAAACTGGTCATCGGTCTAAAGGTGAGCTGCTCAAGATTCTAGGAACGTTTGTTGGCGAACATTCGTATGCACAACGTTTCCGGAACGTTCCCCTTCGAACACTCCTATGCGCAATATTATTGGAACGTTCGCTTGTGAACATTCCTAGAATTTTCGCAGGTGAAGCCAACCTTACGGAGCTCTCATGCAACCTATGGTTCGAAACACCATCCACTATATGCCGCTTTGTGCCAAAAATATGCAAATTAAGTGGAGTTTCTGGAAACTTAGCATAAGGAATCAGTTTTATCTTATAAGAGTCTACCGAGGAATGCGATATATGAAGTAGGAGAAAAGAAATGGTTTTCAAAACTTAGTAATGAAATTGGCACTCACTGCGTATGTAGAGGGGCAGTTTTGAATGGACCAGATTTTTTTGTTTCTTTGTACTAAAAGTTTGAAAAAGGTATTTCCCAGCTGAACGTTGGATGCCATGTGTGTCTGTTCTTAAGCTCGGAGTGAGTAATCTGTTATGTCTACAGCACATTCTGAATGAAAGAAATTGACAAGTGACAGGTAGGAGTAAACTTTCATTAGTACGTGCACATGCTGGTGCACTGGAAAAGCGGCTAGCTTGAGCTTGCGCCTTCTAAATATCTGTTTCGATTAATAAAAATCGCCCTGTGAGGAGCTTTATCATACCCATATATGTAGTGCGCCTCATTGGGGCTGTAGCCAAAGTATGGTGCCAGGAACGCGTCTCCGACTGGTGTGTTTACCGCGCCCAAAAAAGTGGTCCCTCGATTTCCGCCTGATGACGTCAAACAAGTGTCATGCTGTCGCCGGTTGCGATCCTGGCGGCGTCACAACAGTTTTGGTATCTACATCAGACGCCTGTCCCGCTGCAGGTCACTCTCCACTGTGACAGTCCACGGAAGCTACAGCAGCCGAAAGTTGGGACGCCTGGGACACCGTGATGGCAGCGGCACTCGCGTTCGCTCGCGCTTTTCACCAGCATTTCTACGGCCAACCGCCAGGATCGCGACAGTCAACAGCATGACACTCCGGCTTTTGTGACGTCATTTGTTGCCGCTTGGGGACCACTTTTGATGTATGGGCAGTATGGGACGCTAAACACACCAGTCGGAGACGCGTTCCAGGCACCATAGCCTAAGTAAGCCGCAATTGTGGAATCTTTGTAAATAGACCTCAGAGAATGTTCCCTGAATGTAGCAATGTGCCCACGCCACGTTCTGGGGAGATTGAAAGGATGTCCCTGCATAAACTTGCAACATTTCAAGAAAGTTATATGGATGTTCTTAGAACGTTCTTAGAACCTTGTCAGGATATTTGAACGTTGATTGAATGCCCTGGTAATGTTCTTGGTAATGTTCTATGTTATTATCAGGACGTTCTAAGAATGTCCATGAGAAAACATGTAGCGATAAGTGCCTGCACCACATTCCGACGTTGATATAACGTTCTTACGTGAATTTGCAACACTCCAAGAATATGCCTATGTTCTTTTGAACATTCCCAGAATGTTCTCGTGCTACGTGGGTTGTCGTCACAGTGGGTACAGAGTGTTCTCCACTAACGAAACCGAGAAAACCTGAAGGCAAGCTTTCTTTAACAATGGCCCTAGTAGTTCTGGAATAGGCTTCAAATCACTGCGTGCTAAAGGGTGGGACTAGAGCGCTATCTTTATGCTAGACACCTGCTGGAACTTCCTTAAAGGCAGCATTAAATGCAGTTTGTGTGGACAAAACATGTCAGTTATTTTTTAAGCTTTTGGCAACACTGCGAGCCAGCTGAGGCTAGGAACATCATTTAACTTGGTGCTGAGGAAAGACGCTTTGCAGCGGTGCTGCGAAAGTGCCTGGGATGAAACAGGTACTGTGTATGTCCTACAGCGATAAAATCGCTCGCACAACTCTTTCAAGGGCGTCTCCCATCGCACTTGTAAACCTTTTGAAGTTGTGACAACTGGTGCTTTTAATGACAAAAACAGCTTGATTAGCTGTCAACTTAAAGGATGTTCTGGCAGCTAATTTTTTTAAGTGTTGCACCATGCTTACAATCACTCGAGCGATTGGATTTCACAAGGTAGTAGTACAGTCAAACCCGACTATATCGAACCCGTTTACATTGAATTATCCCTTATATCGAACAATTTTTGTGCACAGTAATGTTAGAGATAATATATAGCAAAAACTACAGTTGCATCGAACAAAAATAGAAGCCGCTATCGATATATCGAACTGCCAAGAGCGCCGTTTTGCTCTACAAGCTGGCTTTCCCCCAATGCGAGGCAACTGCCTTAGGGGAAAGCCAACTTGCAGAGCAAAACGGCACTCTGCAGAAGGGGCTCCTGCTCAGACGTGCTCAGTGCTCTCGGCATAGTTCGGAGCTCATGCACGAATATAGAAGGCAGCGGCCTCAGCATTTTGAAGTCCATGGATAGTGTAGAAAAATATCGTTATCGTGGATGCAATGAAGAAAAAACAGCAGAAGATGCAAGACTATTTCATTGTGTAATATGTCAGCAGAAAGATTTTTGAGAGTCAAATTCATTCAAACTTTTATATCGAATTACCCGCTATATCGAACTGGTAGACAGTTTTTTGCGAGTTCGATATAAACAGGTTTGACTGTAGTAGGTTAAAGCACTCTAATTGTGGCGAAATACTCATGTTCCTAAATTCTAACTATCTCTGAAAGGTGTCGAAATTGGGTGTTTGGGTTCAAACTAAGTTTATTATGCAAAATCACAAGCTGCATTTCTTTTTATTCAACATCAGTTTATTAAAGTTTCGAGTTTCGGAGTGTTTTGGTGACTGATGACACAGCGCCTTGAAAACTTTTTGTAATCACCATTATGGTAAAATTTAAATTCCTTGTCACTGAAAACGGTGGAAGGAGAATATTCACAGTACTGCCTTTTTATACTCCATAAAAAACATCCTGTGCTGCTAGGTACACTTCCATGCACATATGGATATTGTAGATCAGTGGTTCTCAAATGAAGGTCCGCGAGACCATTCTGGGATCCGTGAAGCCCTGCCTCATTACTTAGGCCCAGTAGTAATAGTTGTCTTTTTTAAGATTAAGAAGAAACGTTCCATTTTCAGGTGAGTTTACTTGTGCGTAATGTCAATGGGAGAAGTCGACTTCCCACTAACCCAAAGTTATACCCACAACAAGCTAAGCACCCACCTCTCGACACAGTCCCCATCTCAATGCCACACAACCTATGGCTTTTCTTCACTTTATGTGTGAGCAAAGCCGAAGCTAGAAGCAAGAACATGCTGTCGTGAATGATCTTTGCACTGCATGGGCCTGCATGCTCGGCAGTATGCCGAAAGCCTGGAGCTCGCTCATGTAACTTCTGCTATGCTTGCACCTAAAGCGAAACTGTGTCAACCACCCCATCAATGTTTTATCGACACATCAATGGAATCACTGGGTATCTTCGAGGAAACGTCCCACATGCTTTGCAACCAGGTCTGCTTGATTCATGTGGATGTGATGGTTTCCCTCGAGCTGAAGATACTCAAACTTGCGACAGTTCTCTTGGCACACGTCCAAGACTTTTTGGTGCCACACTGAACAGACACCGATCCCTGGCAAGGCATTTAGCATGAGCAAATCATTCTTGTACGCCTTGATATACTCCAGGACTTCGGCACGATCAATTTTGATCCAGGAGATAGCCCTAAGGCGGGGGTCTTTGGTGAGGACAAAGCGGCCGTCGCCGACGGACACAGAGCCACGCTTGAGCATCGTCTTGGCGTCGTCGGGAAGGTAGCCCCAGGATGACGTCTTCATGTACAGTTGAACCAGCTGCTCCTCCGTGTAACTCGGCTGACTCAGCGGATCTTTATCTTCAATACGCATGGACTCGAGCATGGTGGTCCGAAACAACTTGAGGACCATGCTTGGTGGACGGCAGGTGACCGCCAGGCTGTCAATCATAACAACTTTCTTCACCTAGGGTTTGAGAGAGAAAATGTGACTGTCATAAACTATACTCATTCTCCATCCAAGAAGAGTAGTGAAAGAAGTCCAGCTTCACAGGGATCATTACTAATTTCTCCCATCATGTATAGAATTAGAAATATGCAGGTGCATTTTAGACTAGATATATGTTATGTTATCAAGAACTACATGTTTCAAATGCCAAAGGCACCGCTTATTCGTCCGACAACCAAATCTTGTAGGTTGTGTAGATTCCCAGTCATGACAAAGGATGCAGTGCAAAATATCAGCTCTGCACATTAATTTCAAAGGACATTACAACAGTTTAGACGAGGGCCATAAAAGCACTGCTTAACTAAAATACCGAGCATGTGCCCATGTCACAATAAGCCCGCACCCGCTACTTTTGACACATAAAAAAAAAAAGAGATATCACGCGCCTGACCCAGACTTCTGAGCACACGTGGCTTCAGTGCAATGCAATGATGCTTGACATGTATCCACTGGTCCTAAGTGGTAAAACCTATTCTACCACCTTGCGACCCTTCTGCATTCTTGCTCTTGGACATTACAGGTGTCCATCCTACAATTTTTGATGATCGTTTCAAACTTTTGGGTGCACACCCGCTCGCTCTTTTACGGTGTCAATACCGTTAGGACAATAATACTATTATCAGAATCTCTCCACTTGGTACAAAGCAGAATGTCTGGAGAGTAACTGCAAAAAGAATTTTGTAAAAAGCAATTTTGTTTATGATGTATATTATATACCCCCGACAAAGTCATCTTTTGTATTAAAGACATCAGGGCTGGGCAGAGATACTCCAAAAAGTGTTTGGGAATACAAACACCGAGATACATGTGTTCTAAGGCCCAAAATACAGATACTGAGATACACTTGTCTTTCATGCAACGGGATATCCCCGAGATACTTCTGAAAAACCAGTGAAAAGGTATTCCGGAATACAGATACAGACACTTATATTCACTTGTTCCCGAACAGTGCTAGGTGGCGCAGGTGTAGTTCTTGGCGAATATGAATGGTAATTTCCACTTGTGCTCCTTTTTTGTGCTGTTTTCCTTGCCTCAAACTCTATATGTATCATTGACGCCGCTAAACAAAACATGTCACCCCCTTCGAACAACATAGTTACAGAACGGTAAAGACTGCGTGAAATGCTTGATAAAAAGCGTCTGCCCGAAAAGAACCCCGTTTTGTTGGGAGGGCGCATCTCAAACTGCCATATTGCTTTTGAGTCACCCATAGTGTGGGGAGATTGGACAACAGGGTCATGCCTTTTCTTCACTCAACCCCTTTACAGCGTTCTCTCTGCTAAATAGGAAAGGGTGGAGGGCTTCATGAGAGAAGCTGATTTTGTTATTCCTGCGAATAACCTTTTTTAAACCACTTTTTTTTTTTAATGTCGTTGCGGTGGCTGAGCTGGATCATGTTATAGGGCGGGTTCATATTATAAATTACGAAGCAACATGCACCGAACAGATGTTTTCATCTTTTAAATTTATCTTTAAAAAAAAGATGTAACGAGATACCTAAGTCTGGCAAAGCATTGTGATATAAGCGACACATCTTCAATGTATTTCACTACTGAGATACAAATACATTTTTCAGATGTATCTCGACACAGAGATACAGATGCTTGTAAGAATCGCTAAGATATGATCACAATGCATTTCTATTGCGATACTACCCAGCCCTGAAAGACACCAATAAAGTAAAAAATCAAGCCCACCAATGCATTCCTTTTAAAATTTAAGTCAGGAAAAACAAAGAATAAACATTTCCTCTAGTCCCATTATCAAATAATAGACAAACTAAAATTAAATTCAGGCTGAAGAAATGGAATGTAAAAAAATTTATTCAAAGTGTCCAGATCCTTTTACATGTCAGCAAGGTCCTAAAACTAATAGATAGCAAACAAACTACACAGCAGAAACGCACTTAGCTTTGCGGCAATAAACCTCACACACTGCTAGACCTAACGGTAACATACTTACCTCAAAATCAACTTTTCCCTTACAAAAAAAGAAAAAAAAAAAAAAAAAACTTCTACGGGTTATGTTGCTACACTGCCAATACAACATATGAAAGGCAGTCTGCAAACTGTCAGCAGACATGTTTGAAGCATACCATGCTTAAATCATGCTTAAGTTATATCTGCAAACAATTCTGTACCGCTGCTAACACTGCGTCTTTTACACGATGTAGGAACAATGTCACTGCGGCTTTAGAAATACTACCAAGAACACTGGTCGGACACCCACCTGATCCGGAAAGAGGTTGGCGTAGAGCTGGGCAAGCGCTCTGCCCATGCTGTGTCCCACGAGGCAAAACTGCCGCCAACCGAGGAACCGCACCGTCCTGACCATGTCGGCCACAAAGTGGTTGGCCGTGTAGGCGCAACCTTTGGGAAGGTGGGACGACAGTCCGTGCCCCGTGTAATCTAGCGCCACCGCGCGCCACCTCGCGTCCAGCTTCGGCAGGAGGAAGTCGAAGCTCCCGGCGTTGTCCTGGTGGCCGTGTAGACAGATCATTCGACGCTCCGGATCTTCGCAGGGCACGGGAAGCCACTCCTTGGCCGCCAGATGGCCGTAGGGGACAGGTATCTTTAGTTCCGCGGTCGGACGTGCTGAGACGTCGGTGTGACAGAGGCGCTTCGAGCCGTCGTGCGTGAGCGGAGGTACCCGCGTCGTCGCGTGGCAGTACCTGCCGCGATCAAAAAGGTTGAAGATGCAATTAGTGTAAATGCTCGAGTAAATATAAATGGGCGAGGATTAACACAGCTATAGTCAATAACGAGATGAGAATGGCGAGGCGTCTCTTTTGAGTGCCCAGCCTTCGGAATGCGCTTTGGCTGCGCAGGCACGCTTGGGGTTCATGAGACGCTGAAGTGTTACTAAAGGCAGAAAGATCACGCTAGAAGCGGCACAAGTCAAAGACCTCCCTGCCATCGTCGTCCTCTCAGTGAGTAGAGAAAGAGCGTTCTCCACTGGCAAACCCTGTTGATTCCACTAGCTTTTTTTTTTTTTTAGCAACATACAAGTTCTAATTGTGCAACATTCCATTTCCAATAGAAAGAAGGTATCTGCCGATTAGATTTTCGAAAATTTAAAGTTGAAATAAAAACAGCTTTAAAAGTAGGCTGCGTTTTTTGCATCGACCGAGAAAGGGCGGTGGTTCTTATAGAGCCACTAAACGAGGTATGCTTCCGAGTAATGACACTTCAACCATCTTGGTGCCGACAATCATTGTTGCCAGTTGTCTGAAGCCTCGTCTGAAAAATGGATTTAAGTCCTCTGAAAACGCTAAAACGGAAGACATTTCCGAAGCTTCGCAACACTGTGCCTAGGCCCGGCAAGTCATATTTTCTAATCATAACGCTCGCCAATTGCACCCGCTGTGCACCGAGCACCAAAATGACGATGCCCACAAAAACATGGGAAAAGGGAGCGCCGACACTCCAAGCGTAGCTCACTTAGTGACTCTAGTTCTTACCACCTGCTACCTCTACGCCATGCCACATTAAAATGGTGACACACTTTCAGGCAGCTGTTTACTTCACGAGCAGCTGCTTTACGACACATCCGATGTCATGCCACACAAATGCACCGTTACTTCGAAACTTACTGCTCTCTATATCGAGTCACAAATGCAGAAGCCTTATGTTTAATAGCACTTGTCACCCGAAGTAGATGAAAACCAAAACCCACCTTTTCCAGGAAAGAAGTTGCTGTACCGGCAATCGACCACTTTCCCGTAACCACAAGGCGGCGAACGAAGGCACCTCAGTCGGCCGCCAGCCAGTTCGCCTGGTGGCCAGAAAAGGCAACTTCGGGCAGTATGTACCGCCCAACAATTGGGCTCAAGTGCCGCATTACAATCCGGCGAGGCACTCGGAAGGTTCAAGCAAGAGGTCGGATCCGACGATTGCGACCGCGGTACGCCTCAGAGTCACAAAGAGTTCTGCGCAAGACGGCGCACTACCAATGAAACCAAACTTGGCCGGCCGGTCGGTACGCTGCGTCCTCTCATACGGTACGATCGGACCATCTGTTTCCAGAAAAGGCTACAACCGCGCAGGAACTGGTTCAAGTTCTTATAGTACCCACAAGGTCGGCAGGGAGGGGCTTCAGTTGTCCCGCCTCCAACGCGAGCACCTTCAACGACGCCTGGGTGCCTCGTGCGAGTGAGCAGCCAAAGCACAGCAGAAGGCATGAGGCACGTGCCGTGACGCTCCAATGTTCTCACCCAGAGTCAAAAGTAATCAATGTCTACCGGTCATAGGTAACTAGGCTTGCATAACTGTGACGGCCACAGTTAGTCAATACAAGTTCTGAATCGAGTTGAACTACTTTTTGTCATAGCAAGTTAGTGCTGCGGTATGCTCGTTACAGCATTTCTGATTACATGTCCAACCACTCCAAGTTTAGGAAAAAAAATGCCAACGAGTCGACGACGCTTGCAAGAAAAATGCTGGTGAACGGCGCACGACGTTTGCCTGCCTTTTTTCATGCAAACGTCTGTCGCGGTCGAGAGAATATTTTGCGCTAAGAAATGATTACCCGAATTCACCGTAAATTGCCACTTGGGGGAACCGTGTCAACATTTTGAGGTGCTGTGTATGCTCTAGTATTTAAATAATTGGGTGCTCCATCCCATCTTTCAACGATTTTGTTTGGTGTGTGGAAATCTGACTGATAATTAAGGCTCCATGCTTTTAAAATTCTTTTTTTTTTTTTTTTTCAATTCCAAAATGCTTTTTGAAGGTTCTTTTCCATGGATTTTGTTTTTCTCGGTGTTGCACAATAAATAATTTATCGGCGGTTTTGTCGACGAAACCGGGGCACTGCTAGCTGCGACCCAAATGCTCCGAAAAGAACGCTTCAGCACCGACAAGAGAATAAAACGAGACAAGGGGACTTCGGAGAAACATTTCCTTTCGCGAAGTGTGGGTTCTTTCATTTAAGGGCAGTCCCAACTTAAGGTTTTTCGGCTTTCTCCGATTTAAATCAATGCGACTCGCGGGTTATTTAAAACAAACACACACATACACACACACACACAAAATTAAAGCACATTTTTCGCGAAGTTAGGACTCCGCACAAAAGATAAACCGATTTGATTATTTCTGGCACATTCCTCAGCCTCGCATCGTGTCACGAACGCACCACTTGCAAAACCTCTCTCGAGGCAGCTGTCACAAAACATGTTCAATAAAAACACAATGCAAGTCGGAACGCAAAACTCACCTTAGAGCACGAGCGAGGCGATGCATCCTATGAATGGGATTATCGCTCAACGGAGTCGGCCACAGCACTTCACCCACTACTCACGGCAGCGAGAACATCACCGGCGTAAAGGAAATGACGCGGTGCTGCGGGGAAAAAAAAAAGAAAAAAAAAGGCACATATTTCGTCACTTTACTTCCCATGGGCCAATTTTTCTTGGCACGGATCATACCGACATCATCTGTGTCGACAGAGCACGCACTGCGCACATGACTCGCAAAATGAAAGCGAAATGTGTTAGCGATAAAACTACAGTACTAAAACTTACCATCGTCCAAGTCACCGAGAATTCAAGTTCAGGAAATGAATGAGTGTGACCTTCGCTACTCTTGAATGATGTTCAAGTTTGGAAGAGGAAGACAGTTCGTTTCGCAAGCCCCCTCCAACAATCTTACAAAAAGTGAAGTGGTGAAAAACTGGTGAAACGTACGCGAAAGTCGATGGTGCTGTGCCGGTGCCGGTCGTGCGTGCTGCGTCGGCTGCGTGCTGAGAAAGCGAGGAAACGGTTGAAAACACTGAAAATGACTCCGAAGCCGACTTCAATCCAAGAGTTTGCAAATTAACCAAAAATTAGCAAGTCAGTTATTTCGACCATAGTGATTTCGACAGTTGAAATGTTTTGAATTACCATACACTGAGCCGAATGTAAACGATGTAAACATTTTACGAGACATTTGTCTAGTACGATTTTAAGGTGATAATGTTTTAACGACCCCATGTGAACGAAAACATTTTGTGACGTCACTAATAATAAAGTGTCACGTGCCATTTTTTGAGGAAAATGCCGAAAATGCAACTTTGGTGTAGCTGGTGGGTTGGTAGCGCTCGCCTAGGGTCACTAAATAAAGCCACTAAAGTCACTAAATAAGCTTAGCTTATTAGTGACCCTATGCTCGCCGAAGTGCTTGCCTTGCAGTGAGGCCGTGAGGTGTTTTTCGCGGACTTCGCATCTTCGCCAGCCGCGTGAGCTGTGTGCCATGTGCTCGTTGCTTTGCGACAGCGATCACGTGGAAGGCGTCCAAAAGTACGCCACCCTTTTGAGCGAATTTCTGTCCAAATTTTCCTGGCTCACCGATTCCTACGTTTTGGTGAGATTCCATCCACTGTCTGTCCGATTTGTTTTATCTGTTTTCATCCGTGAGCGATAGACAATTTTGAGCCCGCTCTTTACCTTTGACGCATCGGAAGACAAGGAAGTGCACGCCAATCAAAGGACGACGTAACGAACTTGCGCGATGGGGTAAACAAAAGCACGTGGGCACATTTGGCACATGAACACACGCACAAGGAGCGGACTTACTTGCACGTTGGCAAAGAAAATATATTCCACAGCGCGGCATGACGAACTTTGTTTTGACATTGCGGAGAGCAGGTCGATTTGCTCCTTGCGCAGGAGTTGTGATGACGTCAGAAAGACACCGAGCCCTGATTGGCTCTGCTTGAAGAATAGTGGGTAGACGTCAAAGCAAGCTACCTTGACGTCTACCCACTATCCTCCATTCAGAACCAATCGGAGCTCGGCATTAGGAAGTCACCACAATCCCTGCAAAGGAAGCAGACTAACTTGCGCTTTGCATAATTTCGTCGAAACATTTTGTGTGTGCGTGTTTGTTTGTTTAATGATTTGCAACGCCTGTGATCCTTCTCTCACAATCGGGGAGTCGGTCTTGTCCATATACCTTTTTACATGTAAATTTGTGGTTGTTTTAATATCTAGCTCGATTTTATTCAAGGACTACTTTGTGGACAAGCAGTGGCTGAAGCTTCCCCCGTCATGGCAGAAGGCACTTCACGACGTCCAGCCTGATCAAGTTTCATTGTGGCTTAGAACTGGAAGGCCAGTAGGGTAAGAGAATAGAAAAAAAAATAAGCACTTTCTTCATCTTTTAGATGCTTTTACAATGTGCCTTTTGGGTAATGAGACAAAGTAAAATTAACAGACATTAGAAATCTGATCAGCCATCATCATGCTTATTTGTTGAAATCTAATGTTGTCACTCAGGCTGCGAATGCATTGAAAACTGCAATGCTCATTGGTTCTATATAATTGTGACGTTACCGAACCAGCTCGCCTTCATACTTTGTGGGGTCTTACTCTTTGGTTAGTAACCAAGGGGTTCATTATAAGTGACAATCTCCAAATCAGGAGATACCAAGCATATACCTAATTTTACCTTAAAAAAGCAACTCTGTTTCATTTTCGTTTTTTTTAAACAAAACAATGCAGTCCTCTTTAGTATCACCTATAGTCAGTTACAGGTTAAGAAGGTAGCGGCAAATGCCCCTCAAAGGGAATCAGATATCCCTCCGCCACCTCCGCATCCAATAGCGTCCCACCGTTTCCGTGACGTCGCGGACAACGCGCGAGGAGGGTCTTGCCTTTCTGTACATATTTGCTTTATCTTTCGACTTTTACTTGGCATTGTGGAAGGCACGAGAGGGAGATTAGAGTTCTCCCCCACCGACGGAAACAAATACGACTTTCGGGGATTAGCTTCCCCCCCGGTGGATACAAAGGCTGCTTTCAGGGGCTCGGTTCCCTCCCCGATGAATACAAAGGTCGCTTTCTTAAAAAGTGGGATCGGAGACAAGTGGGAATCCATTGAAGCGGAACAAGGAGCGTTTCCAATGAACTCTTCTTTCGACTGCGAAGAGATTTGAAACGGGCGCATCACACTTGTGGGAGGAGCTTCTCCTACCTTCTTGACTTGTAACCGACTATAGGAAAACCACACGTCAAATATTACGACGTAGTTCTGTCTAAATGTTTCTTAAACAGTTCAGCAAACTTAGCAACTCTCCAAAATGTCGAAATTGGCTGACTCAAGCAGGCGAATTGAGACGCAACCAACAGCGTCTCAATTCGCCCGCTACGGCATGGGCAAAGCCGACATTGAGCTTAACGTCATCACCATTGCCCCCTCTTGCTTGTTCTTACTTCTCTGGGCAAGTGTAATGGCTGACATCAGCAACGTTTTCTCTCGGCGCTCAGCGGTGACCACGTGATTGGCGTAACGCGCTTGCGCAGTGCGCTTCTTGGAATCCGTCCGGTCGCCCCACCATGATCCTGCTGTTACCGCCGTCATCATCTCACCGTTTGTGATTACTGCCTCTCGCGAACACTACATCTGTAGACTTATGCCGCAGTTGTGCAGACATCGTCGAATTTCGTAGACTCTGAAGTCTGGTGAAGAGTGCGGTGCAGACGACACGTACGCCTAACACCCCCCCCCGCTCCTATCCCGCCCGAGGATCACGTGACATCTCATACCACGTGATAGCCATGTTCTTGGCGGCCCAAGGCCAATCTTGCAGAACGGAGCCGAAGCTTCGGTTTCGATTTCTGCTCGTGTTTACAATTAAATTTAAGCATACATATCCCATTTTTCGCAAAGCCAATGTCGTAGTGACTTTTACTAGGGTTTTTTAATGCAAAATCACTCGCCATCCCGAAATCTTTGGAATTGGGTGGAGTTGCCCTTAAAAGGGATACGGAAGCGAAATTTTGCCGCTTATATCTCCGTGTAGACGTCTTCTTTTTTATGACAGCAGCTCAAAAACGCCAGTCTTTCCTTTGTAATTGCAAGGAAAGCAATTTTAAAACTAATAAAACAATTTCCTAATATCACATGGTAGTTGGGGAATCGAGCTTCGTTGGAATGCACAACGTGGCAGACCCAGAGCCGTATATGGGGTGAGTTTGGTGAGTCTATGGTCTCGCCGCAGTAACGATCCCCTCCGAGTGAGCCAATTAGCACGCGGCGTAGAGCGAGAGGCATGAGCGCATGCGCGTGAACTCCCGGCTGCTCCCACCTGAGTGGGGAGGGCCGCCATCTTCGATCATTCTCCCGGCGGAATGCGTAGGATCGGCATCTAAATCTCGATTATTGCCTTTTATATCGCTGGCTCTGGCAAGAAAATGACATTCTGTTATTCCTCGGTGGGTTAAAAAGCTAATAAATGAAGATTTTTGGGCGTATGGCCACAAACTTTTATTCAGGCGAAAGGAAGTCGGCCCGTAGCAGACGATGCGTAGCCTCAGCAGTGCTCTCCTCCGACCAGTCTCGGACAGCGTTGCTAAAAAAGGGCGGTCGTCTCCTCTCTGCTCCCTTCTTTCTCTCTCGCTCCTTCGGCACTCTTCTCCCTTTCATTTACTTTTCTCCTCTCCGGCGCCTTCGTTGCCACACCCACTGGCCAAACTCTCCCAATATAAGGCTCTGGGCAGACCATGATAGTGGCGCCAAGGTGCGGCAGTTTCCCACGGATGCGTTCAAGAACGAGCGGCGCTTGGCACGCCTCTCGGTTCTAGTACACCATACCTCGGGTATGCCCACTTGGCAGGATTGTAACACATTGACGATAAAGCTGGCGCCGCCTAGTGACGACGATCTGAATTACGGTACCCTCGGCCGCTTACGGGTCCGTAACATTGCGGGCGTGACGTCGCGGGCAAATATCCCAAGACGCATCGCGCCGCCTCAATGACCGATTTTGAAGCACTCACCAGAATTTGTTGGTTGGAACTAAGAATATAGCCAGCCATCCACTGAAAATGCAAGCGTGTGATTATCATTTAAGTATATCACGAATCATATTTCACCTGTTTCTAAGTGTTTTGAGGATATTTCAAGTTTCGATTCTGTACCCTCTTAATATACCACAGACGGTGTTACAAGCCACTGGTCGGAGCCATTTCATAGCTGGGAGCACGTTGTGACCTTCCGGATGGGCAGAGCCCCGCACGGAGCGGGCAGTTACATGCGGTGCATGGAGCTCGTGATTGGCTCTAAGGCCCACTTTAGACGAGGCAACTTTCCCAGCAATTTCGGTGTTGCTAACGAGTTGTTTCCTAGCTTCCCCTAGTGCAGCACAAATTGCTCGGTTCGCGTCCGGCTCAGAACGAACGGACAACTCGGAGACGTTTGAAACAGCAGCGGCCAATTGGGGATGCAATATTTTCACATGACAGCCCGTGCCGGTGATGATTACAACTGAAGACTCGTTTCTGGTTTCATATTGATTGTTTTTGGGACTAAACCATTTCAGAAAGATGAGTGTGTATTCTCAGTGCCATTTAAAGGTATGAAAGCACATTTATCGCGCGTAACTGAGTGTCAAAATAGTGCAAAAAAATGTAAATTTAGTGGCGATGATGGCAATTCGCAGAAGTTGGTTGCTGCGTGCGAACACGGGTGGCCCGTGTTGCCGGCGTTGCGACGTCAAGTTCTAAGGCGGGTCTAATGCGATCATAGCATGTGTCGGGATGCGTCGTAAGGTGAAACGGAGCATGGTAATAGCATCATCCCGCATCTCCGCTGTTGAAGGCCGACCTACTGAATTCCCTTCCGCGGGAAGGAAAACCAGTTTCCAGTTTCCTCTCCATTCGCTTTCTCACTCTTCTCTCCCCCTTTCCCCATGGTAGCGCATCTCCTAGCTGCTTTCACAGAAAGGAGAGTTTCCTTTTTTCTCAAACTGAAAAAGGGAATTGAGGGAGAGTTTCCTCCTTTCTGGTTGCTCGTCGACCCTTTAAAGTTGCGACATTAAGGAGGGACACTGGCTAGAGGTTGAACTTCTGAACTACTCATGTGATTGGGATAAAATTCGCAGGGGAGATTAAACTTCAGATGTAGGTGTACTGTGCAAACTTTCAGCTCTCAGACAAATTTAGATACCTGGATAAGTTGATGTGTCACTGTTTATTAAGAAATCTATGATATGCAAATGAAGCTATTAAGCACCATTCTGACTGCTTGAATATAAAGTGGGGGATATGGGACCTTGGGCTATCTAGTTTTAATAACTCAAATGTAAATATTTCAGGAAGAGGTTATTACCTCAAAATTTGAGATGCATATCTGTCCTGTGTCAATTTTTGAAAGCTTAGTCTTCTATCACTGAGGACTTCAACTTAAAACAAAATAAAGTAGATAGCCCGATTCCCCAGTAAAGTTCAGTTTAGAAACATGTTGATAGTGGCATAGAATACTTGTACCTTTTAACAAAAGATTCCTTCGTATGAAATTTGCAGCGAAAAGTGGAGCTAAGAAAAATGCATTCAAACGTTGAACTCCTTTACTTTGTTACTGCCTCACAATGTGTCGAAAATATTTTATATCAACATAACTATTGGGCATATGGTTATCAAATTTAGTGTAAGGGTGTATAATTGGTTTCTAAAACTGAAAACCTAAAAATTGAAAACTGATGTGCTTTGGAGTCGAAAGTCACGACTAGAGTGGGTGCAGTTTCAAAACGTCCAAGGCTGCTCACGAGTCATAACTGCTGTTACTGACAGGATGGCAACAGCAGGGAGGAGCTCCCTAACTTGGATAACGCTTAGGCATCACGAGCCTCGAGCCCAGCCAAAGCACAGCAAAAGGCTACGAGCGCGCACTGGGTGCCGAGCATTCGGAAGAGTCCACTCTTCCCACCTCGTCGGCGGCCACGCCGACAAACGGTGTTGAACTGCACATCTCTTATGTCTCTCTTTTTACCGCCTTTACCGCAGAAACGACACAGTTTGGCCACTGTCCCTGCTGTGCCTTGCCCCAGCTGCGACGTTGCTGTCGCTCGGCCGACGAGCGGTCAAATCGCCGGCGCACATCCCAGTTTTTTCCACGGACGACGCATGTTGGGGTGACTAATGCTTGGAATTTCCGTCCCAAGCGTCTGCTTGTACTGCTCGTTCGTCCCTGTGTTACTCTAATCATAGTGGGGTTTTATTTTGCCACATATCGCTTCCAGGTCCCTTTCGTATGTGGCCTCTGAATTGCACACTCCTGATGTGCACTAATATAAAATGACGGGCCATTAAAAGCAAAATTCGTTCCTACTTTACGAGTAACTGTTACTTTATTGTCAATTAGCGACCACAATAAATCAGTTAACTTTAAAGGATTAACTCAATTGTTTCTACTACTATAATTATATAATATTTGACTATTACTTAGTCTCATAAATCTGGTGATAATTTTTATTCCTGTAATTTAAACGTAAATGTATCAGTTTTCTTCTCTAGTAATAGTTTAATTGAAGCAATTTATTTATTAAATTGGCTTGTTTTCTTTTTTGCATCTTCACAAATTGCAATAACTAAAAAACAAACTTATCTTTTCACTCTGCTGTGATCAACACAAAAACCTGTTTCCTTTCCTCCCACTGATCCTGTTTTTCCTTTCACCCTCCTTCAAAAACAAACAAAAAATTACAGGCCCCAGTAGCGATCGAGAGTGGCCGCCATTTGACCCAAGCAACAACCGGAACATGACCCACGCCTTCCGCAAGCACGTCAAGTCCAAGAAACAGCACGAGATAACTAGACTAGCCGTGGTAAGTCTTCGCATTTTCACTCGATCGGTCCGTGCCACAAACCGACACTGAATATAGAGTTCATCTCGCTTTGCCGTTTACTGCGTGCGTCGGCGTTGGCACAGAGGGGGAACCATCTCCCAGTGCATGTTGGTTTTGACATCCGACTGGTCAAACTCCAGACTTTGTGACAAGACACACAGTAAATTCAGGCCCCAACCATCAGAAAAAATAAAATTGCCTTTAGAAAAAAAGTTGGGAGCAATTCTGAAGCATGCATCTATTTCATGTCATTGATGTCAGAATGGGTGCTTGTTCTGGAATCGCCGAAATGAGTCGCTCAACATAAATATTACATTAAAAAAATATATTTTAGGGGAGAGAATTTACCTTGTGACATACACCTGCCATCCAGACATTTTAAAAGAATCCTTTTAGAGAGTTCAGTATACTTGCAAGCTTTTACGACACATTCTAAACGTGACTGTTCAGTTTTGAGGACGCTTTATCAGTCGCCACGTCTTGTTCTTAAATTTTGAATTTGGAAGTAGTATGATAGATGCTCGAATGATCGAAACATAATATAGCTATTTTAATGTTTTCTTTTCTCTTTGGGTGGTGGAACTTCTCGCTCGGAAGTGCGGCTGTCGGCACGTGATGGACGTCGGTTCGGGCCAGGGTCACTTGGCCCGTTTGTTGGCACTAGATAAGAATCTCGGCGTTGCCACGGTAGACCTCGTCGGAAGCCACCTGTCGTCTGCTAAGAGGTTCGACGACCAGGTACGCCCGGCCTTTGCCGCCGTAGCTTTCGCACAAGACGCGCATGTTCTCCATTCGGTTGGTAGGAGCCCAATTCGTCAAAAATGGCTCCTCCCGTTTGTTTTGGGGCAGGCAGTGTCGTACTTTAAGAAGAAAAGCGGCGAGACTGCGGAAGGAGGTGACACAAAGTCGAGAGGTGAGAGCCAGAAACCTCCCCAGCATGTCGAGCTGGAGGTCTCCATGGCCACGACCCCGGACCAACTGGAAGAGGTACGCCTCTTAACTCGCTCCGAAACGATGACTTGAAGGAGGCGTGAAACACGGACTGGCTGCATGGAGCCAAATACTCGTTCGAACTTGCACAAAAATATGTTATTGTGACATTCCTGTAACTGGTCCAATCCACAAACGACTATTTATTAGCTGTTACCTTTTGTTTTTACTTATTTTTTCTTACTTTAGTATTTTTGAAGACCATTGACTGTGATTCTATCATGTCTTTTTGCTAACTGGATTATATACTGCCAAAAGATTATCCTGCTTCCGCTGGTTTCAGAAATGAGGTTTTGCCAATGGCACTCCATGTGCTACATGCTCATGGATTCATGGGAGAAACCAGTAGTTGAGAAACAGTAAAAATAAACCCAATCACTGCTTTTTTCTTTTTTCTTACACTTGTTCTAGATTCAATGTTCTGAACACAAAGGTCAACAAAAGTGGATCAGACACTGCCCCAAGCTTTACATGATAACATTATCGAGTGCTCTGATTTCACACTGGGAGCTCGTAAAATATACACTTTTGTTTTTAATTTTCTTCCTTCCAAGGTGGCGAATCGGGCATGGAACGAACCGGGACCTCGTGTCAACAAGGTGGGAACCTCACGGCGCTTTAATCTGAACGCGTCTGGCTTGGGGCGTTAACATCGGGCAATTTTGCCATTTAATGTTTCTTTCCCTTTACTTTGAAGCAAATAATGACGGATAGACTCTTGGCTTTGATAGGTGGAACCTTTGTAACACGCACTATCTCTTTGAATTCTTTCTGTGATTATGTAGTGTTGGCAGGGCACAATGAGCAATGGTAGCACGACCCTATGCAGAGCGCAAGTTCGTCTGCTTCTTGCACAGGGGTTGCAATGATGTCAGAACGCCGAGCTCTTATTGGCTGATTGAAAAAAATAGTGGGTAGACCTCAAGGCATCTAGCGTTGAGGTCTACCTGCTATCCTTCCAATCAAAGCCAATCTGTGCTGAGCATCTTTCTGACGTCACCGCAACTCCTGCACAAAAAGCAGACGACTTGCTCTTCGCGTGAGCAACACCGAGGCACTGCGAAGACTATATTTCCCTTTTGTTTCCTGAATGTCAATGGGGAGTGTAGCACATGAGTCTTCCTCTGCTGAGATTAAACACACCACAACTTTCGTGCTAGTTGAGTGACGCGGAATACAATACTATTTGTTATTCCCGACCTTGGTATAGGTATACCTCTAAAACAGCTTGGGACAAACTTCTGTAGAAAAAAACTGAAATATCGACTCGCATTGATCTTGCTTGTCTAAAGGTTCAAAATACAGCGACCCATCTTACAGATTACTGTGTAAACACAATTAATACATTGACAAAAATTCAAATTTGTGATGATAATGCAATTAATGCAAAGGTGCAAGTGAGCTGTACAAGAACGACGATAATAATTCCTGGAGAAGGGGAACAAGGAGGACAAAGGACAAACACAAATCTCCAAACACAACTAGGTGACTAGTGTGCGACCGAAAAAATCCGCCTGATCCTGGTATCAAACCAGGGACCTCCCCATTTCCATTGGAGCGCTCTACCAACTCAGCTAACCAGGAGTTAGACGTCAGTAGAGCATACAGGTTTTATCAGCTACCACCAGTCTAACACCAACAAGGGTAAACGGCCTCCATTTTAAGGTTATGATGTTAATGCAAAGGTGCAAGCAAGCTAGGCCGTTCACCCTTGTTGGTGTTAGACTGGTAGCAACTGATAAAACCTGTTTGCTCTACTGACGTCTAACCCCTGGTTAGCTCAGTTGGTAGAGCGCTCCACTGGAAATGGGGAGGTCCCTGGTTCGATACCAGGACCAGAAGGATTATTTTGGTCGCGCACCTGTCGCCTACCTGTGTTTGGAGATTTGTGTTTGTCCTTTGTTACCCTTCTCCAGGGATTATTACCGTACAAGTTCCTAACCTTTTCTCTATCCGCAGTTTGTGCTGGTGGGGCTTCACACATGTGGCGACCTTGGCTCATCAATTGTGCGTCTCTTCACACAAACTCCGGCAGTTCAGGGGCTGGTGTCAGTTGGCTGCTGCTACATGAAGCTTAGCTGTGATGGGTCAGTAGCTTTCTGTTTCTATTTTTGTTTTTCTGTTGCACAATTTAATAATTATATTTTTTTTCTTTATGGTGGGAGGTACCCATCCATGTCTGTACTCCATCTCTCACATTTTGTTCAAAGGCACATGTAGAAGGCTCCAGAAATGTGAATGTCTGTTGTATTAGGTACGTCTGACTGCTGTCAGTGGTGGAACTGACAAGTGGTGATTTGGAGCAGTTCTTCTAACAGGGAGCAACGAATTTTGGAGCAGAGATTCCCACTTTTGGAGCGGACAATTTTGGGCTTTCATCATGTCGCAAAATTTTAAACAATCTCTTTGAAAGTTAGCCTCTGAAAAAAAACTGCAGTTGTTGGAGTGTTGGGAGATTATTTAAAGTGTCATACCTACAGGGGACCTGGCTGCTACAGATATTTATTGATTGAACAATCGTACCCGGATAATTTTGCCGATGTCTCAGTTAACCTACCTATTAGGAGTACAGATAACGTCTTCAGTCTGTGTTTGACGTAAAAGGCTGTTCTTGGCTACTTTGTAGGGTTTGTATCACGGTGGCATAATTGTTGCGAGTTCGACATCGAACGGACATTTTTGTGTGGAATGTGTGTCATGCTGCTCTTTGCCTTGTAGTATTTAGGAATGTGCAAATAATAGACTTCGGGTTCGAAGAAAATTCAAAGTGTTTAGTGGTTTTGGTTGAATATGTTTTAATCCAATATTGAATAGTTGCTGGGCTTTTCTCCGCGCAATAGTTTCTTTGCCTTTCTTTACGCCTTTCAGTACTGTTGCACCATGCTTAAACAAAAATTCACCTGAACTCGTGAAGTTGTTTGCAAGCTTTTAATTGCCCACTTATGAGCTCTGTTAAATGTAGTCTGGCTATGGTCATAGACTGTGGCCTCAGAAAGTTCAATACCTACATTGGCATGGCAAGCAAACAACAGATTTGACATACAATTAAGCCTATAAAGGATCCCAGCCATACCTAATTGAGAGGATTTATAAATATTCCTGCTGTATGCAAATCTTCAATTCTGAATTAAAAAGAAAACAAAAACAAGCACGAATACTGAACACAGGTTGTTAGAAGATCGTTGCCTAACATATACTGTTGCAGAATAGCCACAGTTAAATTGTGAAGATCTTACTGCAATGTAAATATCAACAAGCACAATGTTTCCTTTTATTATTTTTTTTATTTTTATACACTAGGCGCGCGCTTGCACCATACCGCTTTGACAGTGTGTTTTCCGCCTAAGCGCACGGCTGCGCTGCGGTGAAGCGAATCGCGGTGTCAGCGCCGCGGGTATTGCCTCTGCGGAGTGCACCGGTGTTCAAGGGGAGGCACACTCGAGGAGGCTAACCCGCCGCAATCGACGCTTTGAAAAGTATGAACATCGCAGTTCATTTTGAAACAAATATCGAACAGCGTATTATTTGGAACTACTATTCAAATATTCGCGCAACCTTACTCTTCGTGCATAGTGCTTAGGCATCCGAAAAAGAAACAACAGCTGTACTTTCTTCATTTTCAGTGGCATCGCCATCAATGCTACGTGTCAGACACTTTCAGTTTCCTTTTCGAGAACAGCTCGCTTTTACCGCAGACATGGCGCAAATTGTGCACAAATACACCCTTTGGAGCAGCATGTAGCAGGTTGTTCTTTCTGGTGCAGTTAGGCACAAATAGTGCGACAGTTCCACTACTGTGATGTACGAAAGAAAGGACAACTTCTGTAATAAGAGTATAATACTCTATTTGCACGAGCGCTCTCAACGATCATTAAGCCAACGATCGTTGGCATCTTTCAACTGTCATTGAGGTTAACTAAATTGTCCGGTGTTACATCGTACATAGGCCTAACAACCCGAACTGTCAATCCCAGTTTAAACCGAAACAAGACCAAAACTGATATCACATTACCTTTTCTCAAAAGCGATGCAAATAATTATATGTTAAACTGTTTTTGTTTTTTTTTGAGTAAAGAAACAGTAATTAGAGCGTTTCACGTGGATTCAGGCAACAGAGACAACGAAAGTCTTATCAGCTTTGACACTGCAATGGCCGCGCTCACTGAGCGTGGGCTTCTGCGACGGGCTGCGATAGTTTTAGTTGCTGCTGACTTCAAATCGTACCTCTTGCGACAATGTTTGCTGCTACGATACTTCCTAGATACCTCCCCCAGACTTCCGCAATAGTGAGTGCTTCGCTGGCGCTGACCATTGGCGACAGTGTAGAGGACGCCGCCATCTTTAGCTCTATTGGGGTGAACCCCATCACAGTTAACTGAGGTAGGCCAGCTCGGCTCAATTCGATCGTTAGCGGCTCAGTTACACTTGGCGCCGCTGGGTTACTCTTGCTTATTGCGATTGAATCAACTGTCGTTGGCTTGAAGGAGCGATGCAACAATTTTCGTACTTGGCACGAATACCGCTTTGAACGAATCCCTGAGATTAATGACCTACGAAACACTCATTCGTTTTTCACCAGAGGCAATGGAGTCGCAGAAAAATTTTTTAAAAAAGCGAGTACTGTTCATCTTTTCAAGTTGCAGCCAGAACCGATTGTATGCTGCCAATGATGATCATAGTGATGCGCTGAGGTTGGCAAAGCACAGGACACGTGCCGAGTTCCATACATTTTTAAGGTTCGGCTATCGTCATCGTTGCTGCGATTGGACACGGGCCACTACCCGAATGCTTGTCCAGCTATCGGTTATCACGAGCCCGAATCGAGTGCTCACTCAATGTTCGGGTCCAATTTGTGAGCCGCATTCAAACATCAACACTGGGCGGTCCTGGGACCGCCCAGCTATGTCATCAAGGTTTGCGAACGAGAGATTGAACAAAAACGCTCGCTTTTGTCCTTGAAATTTTACCGCAACAAAGGAGTTTCTTGGTCACTGGCATTGCGTGCGAGTGTATTTAGGTCCCACTAGTGTCTGTAAACTCGTGTACAGTGAAGAGCATTCCGAGCGAACATTATCGCACAGCCCCTTTAATGACAATTAACGGCGCTGTGTAACTTAACTAGTGTATTACTCAAATACATAATCTAATTCTAATATGGTGTATTATACACTAAGGGTTGCATCATTAAGATTGCATCAAATGTGAACCAGAAAAAAATTTGACACTGGCAGTGAGACAACATGCACATGTTTCCACTTTGAAAACGGAGTTCTACGGAGCATTTTGGACCAAGACAATGCCAACATGGTACTTGCAATTGGTTTTCCAGTACCAGGAACCGAGGCAAACCAGTAGGCTACCCCATGAGTCAGCACGTTCTAAGTTTGGGAGAGCGTGCTAGGCTTTCATACCAGGCAAGGGAGGTCGCGTGCCATGCATTGGAGGCCTACCTCAGCAGGCTCAGAGGTGGGTGCACAGCATTATAACTCAAATTAGCATGCAGTCAACAAGTTTTAGCTGTGAGAGCATTTGTGAGCGAACCCTATGCACTTTCGCATCTGTCAGTCAGTTTGTAACCCAACAAAGCAGGCGGTAAGCATCTGTTATATGCCTGCTTGAATTATGCACATGGGGTAATGTGCCCAGCGAATGTGATATCATATATTAGCTTCTGAAGGACAGACACCATTAGCAAGGGTCTCATTACGTTTTTATATACAGTCGAACCCCGCTCCAACGAATGCCGCTTCAACGAAATTTCCAGTTCAACAAATATTTTTCAGTTCCCCGTCAACAGTTCATAGGAGTCAGTGCATAAAAATTCTCACTACAGCGTACATACACGGTTTCTTGTGCCGTTCCGCTTGAACAAAATTTGACAGTGCAATTCAAAGTTTGAAAGTTTAATTTTTCGTACGAAAAACAAGCCTCCGAGCACTTCGCATTTTGCCACATCAAATTTGTCTACTATAAAGTTTAAATCGTGTGTTGAACGTCTAGAAACTGCCACTAATAACCGGAACTAGAGTGCAATGAACACAACGTTGACCGAGCGTGCAAGCCGCCATTACTCGATGGCGACGGCGATGAGGCAGGCCTTTCCAGCCCTCCTTCGCTGTTGCACCAATGTTGCTTGCACCCTAGCTCTTGGCTTGATAATCCTCTGCTGCAGACTATCCAAAGCCAATGCTCAGTCGTCCTCTTTGTTTTGTCAGTCGTCCTTTTGTCAATACAGTATGCGGGCTTTCTGGACATGGCACGGCCAAGCAAAACGCGGAAGTTTTTACTTTTAGAAGATAAAGCTCGCATCCTGGCCGGTGTTGCAAGGGGACAGAAGAAAGTTGTCATCGCGAAAAAGTTCAGAATTTCTCCGAGTTTTTTGATGACGATCCAAAAGTCGGAAGATGCAGTCAAAAAGGCTCTTGCATCGGGGACATCGGCCAAGCGAAAGAAACCGACACCGTCGATGCACGAAGAGCTTGACAAGGCCATGTATGGTATACACATGGTTTGTACAGATTTTTGAACTTTACCATTTCAGGTATGACATTTTTTTTTGTAAATTTCGCAACAAAATTTTCACTACAACGAATTTTTTCTTATGCACCCTCAATTTCGTTGTAGCGGGGTTCAACTGTACATGCCGTATTACGATTGTATCCTTATATTGTAAGAGAGAAACATTTGAACTGCTGTAAAGCTACGACAAAAGTCATTGACTGGTTGCGGGCGGCTCGTCCACGGGAAGTAGACAGTTAAGTCAGAAAATCGCATGAATTGGTTCTAAATACCATTAAAGACTTCATGGACGTCAACTAAAATATTCCTAGAATTCCCACAGCAGTTCCCGAGCAGTTCAATAGAGAAACGTTACCGCAGTACAAGACGGCGTAAAATACTTTCCATTTCAACACCAATCTGGACAACGATTTTGGTGACTGTTTTTTCTTTGTCTTCTTACGGTCGGTTGATGGTCGATTGCTGCAGGCAGTGTGGCATGTTGTGCGCAGAGGAGCCGTCGTTGCTCAAGATCCACTGCTACAGGGCACTGCTGGAGACTGTGATTGTGCGCAACTACGCGGACCTAAAGCACAGCGGTCTGGGTAGCGTCAAGCGTGCTGCTGCCATGACTTTTGCAGAGTAAGCAAACGCTTCGCAAAGTCTTGCAGACGGGATACGGCGTTCCAGTACGTGACGTGGAACAGGAGAATGCCACAGTGCATTCTGCCTCACGTGTTCCACATCTAGTTTTCCGTCCTTTTCATATTGCAAGTGACTGCATATTCATAGCATTTGTAGGGTTCTTTGTTCCTGTTTGAAACCATGCCGTCCCTAATTCTATATCTGTGCTAAGCTTGGGTTCTAGAAATTTGAATAAATCCAGTTTGTTCAGTAAACCCAGTCTGAAATTTAAATTTTAATTGCATTAATTAAATAAGCAATTGTGACTAGAGTCAGATACCTCGCACCAAGCTAAGCAACCATGGCTATGTTATTTATGGAGTTACTAGCTTGTTATTGCCATATTAAAACTTTAAAGGTGTTCGTTTTTTAAGCAACACAAACTAGAGTAACCGTAAAAGGTGCAGTTTGCAGGTAGAAATGTCAGTTTCTTCTTCAATTCTACTTCAAACAGACTAACACTGCAACCTCCCCCCCCACAATTATTTTGTGGCATAAAACTTTACCCGTGACGGTTGAGTTCTTTTTTTTTTCAAAAAGAAATTTCCCTGTGGTTGGGTTTTGTTTCTAAAGGAACAGTATAAAGAGAGGTCAATGCACAGGTTTTTTTTTTCTTTTTATTACCTAGCGGGAGCACGTACATCGCTTGCGAGCTGTTCAGGTTTAGAAGCAATCAATAGAAATATTGAATGCAAAATGTCACCTTTCTTTCCTTCAATTTCTTTTTGGTACGTCTGCTTCCGCAATGTTTTAGCGGTTTCAAATCCTGAACGAAAGGTACTTTACAGATCCTCTCCATAGGATGGTAAACTCTCATCCTGCGAATTAAGTTCTGAGATGTGTTAAAGGTCCGAGTCGGAAGAGACAGTGCTTCAATTGCCACAACCGCCAGAGCAGCCAACATTGAAAGGGACTACTATTTTTTGCACATCAATATGTGCGGATTGTCGGATCTCAAAACTATAAATGGTCCCAAAAAATCCCAACACCGCACAGATATAATGGTTGTAGTTCCCCAAAGATGTAGCAAGCAGCAACTCCTTCTGCGGTGCGTGTGGTTTCGCGTTTAGGCAGGCACTTTCTAATACACATTCATTGCCGTACATGTACTGCAACGGCCAACACAAAGGGTTAAAAACGCGCGATTGTAATTTAGTGCAGCCATCGCACAATGTCCAATGTAGGTACGCCCGGAAGGCCCTCCGGAAATTTCCCCTGCCCATCCCCGAGGAAGACCTGAATGCCCCGGAGCTGGAATCCCTCCTCAAAGAGTGGAAGCGTGTCGTCTTGTTCTACTCGCTACGTCTGCTCCTGGCTCCGGTCGTCGAGTCGCTCGTCCTCACGGACAGGGCCCTCTACCTTTCGGAACACGGTGAGTGGCTGTCAAAGTCTCTTAGCGGAGCCCCTACGTAAGCTACGCTTCAGGGTACGGACGCTTCCGTCGTCTTGGTGCCCGAAATCGTGGTTGCCGTTTATCTGAACTTCATCTGAAATTGCAGGAAACACTTGTCTGTCCTCCAAAAATGTTAAAGTAGTCCGCGACAGATCAAAACCGTATCGCCTCTGCTTCCCCACACTGTACGTAAGTCATGGGAAGTCGCATTTTCGAATCGTAGCCATCGCCAGTTGAGCCTGTTCTGTGCCACTAAATATAAAAACGGCGGCACCCACAAAAAGAATTGGGAGTCAAAGCATTAATTATCTGGTGGCTTTGTCACTTGGTGTCATTGTTTCATGGAAATTGGCTAAAATTTTCTAAAGGGAATTTACTAAAGGTTACAGCATGAACTCATGCAGTGAAATTTGGAGCCTGGAGGTCGTGCGTTAAGTAGCAAAACACTGTGAGCGAGCGCCGATCCCGGATTCAAAGTGGAGGCATGTCACAATCAGCTGGCACATTGTCGCAGATGGAAAAGGCTCGTAGAGCGTAAACTGAAAATGAACTTTTGAATGGCAAACTTGTGCCAGAAACAAAAGAAAGAATGAGTGTCGAAACATTAGCAGCGAATATCGCGGCATCATCAAAGCAGCTGGCTGGAACGAGACTGCGAGAGAGAGTGAATCTCAAGGCCATGCTTGGCTCCCTATCTAATACTTGGGACCTCGAATATTCGACCTAGAATGTTCGGGAGTGAGCTGGGGCGAGACTTACTCGGCAAGATAATGTTGGCCTCTTTATCCTTTAAGCTCGGGGTAAGGGCAAGCTCAAGCTTGGATCTTCTAGAAGTATAAAGAAGTGTTCCTTCTCGGTCATCAAGCCAAGTGAAACAGAACAGGCTTGTTCAAACTTTTGGGCTGATCTCAAATATCTGTTATTTCTTTTAATTAGATAGTTCTCAGGATAATTATAACTTACCAGATTTTGTTTCCGAAAACTATAGTGAAAGACCATTTTTCTAAGATGATTGCTTAAACATATGGTCAGATACTACAAATTATGAAGAATGCAATGTTGAACCACTCTTAGTGACTCTACAACACATTGCTGTTCAATGCTCAATGTCTGGCTTCCAAGCAATAAAACGACAGTCAAAAATTTTTCTACACCTATATTGAAAAATCTGCATTCAACATCGCATGCTTTTTACGTTTAGCTACATGTTGCTAAAAAGTTATACTACCGTAGCATACGGTGCATCCGCCCATACCACACTAAGCGCCCATACCAAAATTGTAAGATCTCAGAAAATATGCACAGTACATTGATATGTAAAATTGATGACCGGATGCCCATCCCCTATTTTTTCGCGATTATCTCTAAATTTTGAGTGGGTGCTCGCCCACTCAAACTTGTATTTTACGGTATTTCTGTCTGCCCTAGATGCTGAGATATCCCTCCTGAAATTTTTTAAGGAGTCCAAAATTTGTGTTTTCAGAAAGTGTTGTTTTAGCGTCAGCTTCAGGGCAATTTCAGCCCGTGTAGATGCCATAAAGTGATATTATGGCTCAAATATTAGTCTTCAAAATAAGAAATTTGGCAGATCACAAGAAAAATAGCTGTAAACTTCAACACCATTTTCGAAAAAAAAAAAAGTTTTTAGGAATATTTTGTTTCAAATGACCAATGTCGCCCTTAATTAAACAAACATGCTGAACACTCTTCGGTCTAACTCGACTTACTGAACCATTCATTGTTTATTTAGGAGACAGATGTGATAGGATGTAGGAGACATGGCCAATCATGCACTGGTCCTTATTGCATAGACTCACGAAGCATAACAGTCTCAGCAGCACTTTACCAGTTACAGTATGTCATCCAAACATTTATTAAAGCACGCAGCCAGCACCCGGACAGTGGGAATGTGAGCTTATTGCTTGGACAGCTGGCAGTGTTTTTTTTAGTGGTACCAGATGGGCACCATTGCCGAAATAGCAGTGGCTAATAGCTTTGTTCTAGCACAGTCTTATCCCATTTTCACGTGGGCATTTTAAGAGGCATTTAGCAAGTGGCTGTTGGGGTTACCGTTAAATTACCATATGGCAGGAAGTGATACTTTGGTTCTCCACTAACAGTTTGTTTAATGTTCCTTAGAATGTCCATGTGACAAAGGTGTGCATCATGTGCAGCCATACTACTAGTAGCACCATTCTGAAGGATGTTCAGCCAGCATGCGAGTTCATCTGATATCTGTGTTCCATCTTTCAGGTATATCAAGCTGCCTTGTGCCTCTCTTTGACCCAAACCTTTCGCCGAGGAACATCGTCTTATTGGCTTTTAAAGGGGGCTCGTGACACGACTGTCTGGGGGAGCCAACGAATATCGGGGCTTTTATCAACGAATAAATTGATGATCATCATTGCATGTGGATGGCTGCTTTGTTGTTTGTTTTGACATACTAGCATAAGGAACTGTGGCAATAGATCATAAAAAATCAATGAAGTGTGGAGAACGTGTATTTACTAGGGATGGTCGAATATTCGGTTATTATGAGTAGCCACTCTAATTTTGTTCTATTCGGCATTCGCTTCGAATCGAATTTAAGTATTGGACAATATCGAATTATTCGACAATATAGGATCATTCAACCTTTCTAAATACAATCAAACCCGACTATATCGGATTCGTTCACATCGAATTATTCCTTATATCGAACAATTTTTGTGCACAGTAATGTTACAGTGATAATATATAGCAAAAACTACGGTTACATCGAACAAAAATAGCAGCCGCTACCGATATATCGAACTGCCAAGAGCGCCATTTTGCTCTGCAAGCTGGCTTTCCCCCAACGCAACGGCCGCATAGGGGGAAAACCAACTTGCAAAACACGCTGGCTTTTTTTTTTTTTTTCGGGTGGCCGCTTTGATTGTTTGGAAGAAAAAAAATATCTTTTGAGGAGGGAGTGGAGAGAGGGTGCTCCGTGCTCGCTCTCTCCGCTCCGTCCGCAAAAGAGAATGTTATTTGTTCCAAACAGTTGACGCAAACGCCCGAAAAAAAAAAAAAAAAAAAAAAAGCTTCTTTTTAGCGCGGTTACCTGTCTTAGGGGAAAGCCAACTTGCAGAGCAAAACGGCGCTCTGCAGGAGAAGGTGCTCCCGCTCGGACGTACTCCGTGCTCTCGGCATAGTTCGGCGCTAATGCGCGAATATAGAAGGCAGCGGCCTCTGCATTTTGGAGTCCGTCGATGGCGTAGAAAGATATCGTTATCGCGAACGCAATGAATAAAAAGCAGCAGACGATGCAAGACTACTTCATTGTGTAATATTTCAGCAGAAAGTGGATTTTTGAAAGTCAAATTCATTAAAACTTTTATATCGAATTACCCGCTATATCGAACTGGTAGACTTTTTTTTTTTTGCGAGTTCGATATAAACGGGTTTGACTTACTCTGGCTTGGATTTCCGGCCAGGTGGCGCAAGCTTCCGATCATTTCGTGCTCCCGAACACAATTCACTTGAAATTAACAATTACAGTACTTCTAATACCAAATAAGGACAAATATAAAACTATAGTTTAAACATATCTTGTGGCATTTGTTGCTTGTACTATTCGATTCGAAATTATTCGGCCAAAATCACTATTCACTTTGAATTCGATTCGGACCCGAAATCCTCTATTGGCCTATGCCTAGTATTTCTTTTGTTCGATAATACCGTTTCCATTTATGCTCTAGAAACCAAGACAAGTGGCAAATCTGCTGCCATGGTTCATTTTTAAATGCGTGAGCATTTGTTGCCCTGGTGCATGCAGCCGTCTGGTTAGGACTGGTGGACTCTCGCTCTGCTTATTTCAATCATATATAAGAAGGAAAGAGTCTTACACGCTCCGAACGACGCACCGCTGTTGACACACTTTTCTTACGATGTCATTGAGGCGTCTACACATGGTTTCGCTTCCCCAGCATGCACGACGTACGCGACACCGTAAAACCGGGGTGCTGCGACGACGCCCTTGGCACGAAACCGCCGACACCAGGGAGAAAAGATTTACTCTAACTTTAAAGACAACAGTATGCAGACTGTAGGCAGTGATCGAGGGAAGCTGATGGCTGTATCCGACAATACTCATCAATCAGAGCCGACGCCGAAGAGAACAAAGTAACTGTCCGAACACAACAGTATGCGGACCGTTGCGAGGTCGGAGTTCCCATCTTTCACCAAGTTGGAGCCCATACGCTACATGTTAATGCATCTCGTCGAGAATTAACTTAACAAATAACCATCCTTTCAATATCTTTTTTTTTTTTTTAGTTTTTCTGCATTAGAGAGTTTGACAGTTGGTATTAATGCGTGAATATTCCAAGCTTCAAAATATCACTCAGTTCACTTAGATGGCTAACTCCATAGTAATTTCGTAAATTGTCTTTTTCTCAAGAGACTTCACAGCTCCGTTGAGTGCGCTTTTTCCTTTACATGGCGGCACTGCGACGAAGTAGCACCTGCGGCAGCGGTGCTCGGCAGTACCACTTGACCGCAGTGCAGCTAGGCGCGTAGGGAAAAATGTTGCTCTAAGCGTGTTTTGTAATTTTTTTCTAACAAAATATTTGTTTAGTTTTTGGATATGTGGCACCTTTAGTGCGCTTTAAAGTTTCATGCTAAAAGCGGGGCTATTATGAAAGTATCGAAAACAACCCAATACGCTGCAAGCGGTAGCATTCGCAGTTTGGGGTCGTGCTGCCTAGACATACATTAGGATATGCTAAAATGCCCGATTTTTTTATTGAAGATACTCATACATCAATGTTTACTTGCCTTTTGAGGAGAAAGTGCGGGATGTCAGTTAGTGAAGACTATACTTGCCTAGAAAGGGTATTCCCAAAACTGGCCATTGTTTACTTAAGAAACTGTTTTAACACGTGCAGATAAACCTGTTTTTCCTAAAAAAAAAATGAAAGCCGTTTACTACTACCTGTAGCGCCGAATTAGAGCGCAGCTCTTGAGGAGGAGGATGGAAGGATACTGAGGGGAGGCTATACCCCTTCTCCCTCCTCCTCACCTCGTCAACCTGCGTGACCTCACGGTTATGGCGACGGCGACGCCGCTCACGCCGGAAACGGGCGCCTAAGGCCTGGTTCACACTTGCGAATCAGCGGGCGAATCTGCAAGAATTCGGCCGCCGGGCGTAGCGTCCACTGTGCATTGCCGCGGCCGATTCCGCTTCGGCGGCAGCGGATTAGCTGTAAGTGTGAACCAGGCCTAAGAGCTGCGCTCTAAAACCAATTGAATTACTGGGTCATTCCATGCTAGACGACCTAACTTTGTACAAAAATGCATTACCTTTGCGCAGCGCAAATTCGTCTCCTTGCGCGGAGCTTGCAGTGACGTCAGGAGGCTGAGCTCTGACTGAACAGTAGTGGGTAGACCTCGAGGCAGCAAGCTGCCTTGAGGACCACCCAATACTCTTCAATGAGAGCTCGGCGTTCTGACGTTACCACAATCCCTGCAAAAGAAGCAGACGAACTTGTACTTTGCAAATGCATTTTAACTTTTTTAGTACATTTGTGGCAACAAGCACCAGGTCTACCTGAAGTCCCTTGATAAAAGTGTTTTCACAAGTACCGCCAACCATTGTTGTGGAACTGCGCAAGACACGTGCCACGATCGGGTGCTCCGCTGCCATTCGCTTCCAAGGGCCGCTCCTTTCAGTGCTGCGCCGCCATTTGCTTCCAAGGGCCGCTCGAGACCTGGGCCACGTGCGCTCGCGGATTTGGCGCTACTTGCAAAGACAAACGAAAATATATCGAGGGGCTTTAGGTCTACCTAGTGCGATTTCTTTCCCATGAAGCTCATAAATAAGACTATCTGAAGGTCAGAATTACTGTCCGTGTTCCCGACACGACAACGCTGCAGGTGTGAAATTTAGCCAGCACTGTGAACTGTTAATGTAGGATCTTTAAACTGCATGACATAGTAGTGATTACATGACTGAACGCCGTTACGATGTTCCTCCGTAGTGAAATTTTCAATGGCGAAAATTCTACAGGATTTTCGAGTTTTAAGTGCGAGTTATCTCTGTTAGAAGCTGTGGTAGGTTAATACACGGCCGTCATTATATATATATATATATATATATATATATATATATATATATATATATATATATATATAAGGGTTTGAAGGAATATTTAATTGTATCCTTTATTTTTTCAACAATGCTAAAGTAATTTGGAAATTTGGACAAAATCCTTAAATCATATTGGAAATATAATATATAAGACTACGATGACAGACAGTCGTACCAGGTGAGTGCGGCTCTATGTTCTAGCCCCAGACGTCAATGCATCAAGTGTGGCAGCCATCTACTTCGACTGGGCCATCTGGAGCCGTAGCCCTCACCCTAGTGAGCGACCACACCATCAAACCGCCAAGGTTTTTCTACCTAAAAACGTTCATTGAACAGCCCTTTGTTGTTCGAATAACTTTGCTTTAGCTCGCTTGGCTGACTCGCTTGAACAAATACCGAACCTCCGAGACACGCGCAGCGGTTTTCGCGACGTTCAGAAGAGCATGTCGTCCTCCTCTTGCGCCTTGTATAATAGGGAGTTTTAGTAGACCGTGTTTTCCCTCTCCGCTAGCCCTCCGCTACGAAGAATCCGCCACTGCGCCTGCGCACCGATGGCCTTGGCTGTAGAGTTCCGGGTAGCGGAGGGGCTTAGCGTAGGGGGAAACACGGTCTACTAAAACTCGCTATTGTATTATCCCATAAACACCCTCACCCGAGGCATCCTACCTCGGGCTTCCATGATACGGACTGTCGCCTTTCTGCGGTGAAATGGCTCTGCTGAGTCATTAATTAATAGTGAGTTTTAGTAAACCGTGTTTCCCGCTCCGCTAAGCCCTTCCGCTACCCGGAACTCTACAGCCAAGGCCATCGGCGCGCAGGCGCAGTGGCGATTCCGCGCTCCGCTCTGCAGTGCGGCTGCACGAAAACGATCTACTAAAACTCCCTATTACTGATATTATTGTTGTAACTAATATTCTGTAGCTTTTGTTGTGAAGATATGTTTCATGTTGAAAATGTTGAAAGCTTTGTTGTCAATGAGGAAGATAAATAAGAACTCGGATAGGTGGTTGGCATGATATATTTTGTGCATGGCTTAGAACTTGGGTGCCGAATTATCGAAGGGAGGCAAAATTGTATTATATTCTAGAAGCAAAAAGTCAACTTAATTTCAGTTTCAAAATAAATTGACATACAAGGAAAAAAAGGAAACAAACCGGCTACTAAAATAGACTTGACGAAAATTGTAGCTGGCTACGGTGAGGTGCCTATTTTCCCGGCCCATTTTAAGAGAGCGCGCAGAAAGGTTATACTGAAGTTTGTTGAAGAATCCTTAAATAGAAATATGGTAATGAGAGTTTTATTGATCATTATTATATTTTTCCCAAATAATATAGTATAAAATAAGGATTTTATTGGGACTGCACGGCTATTTGAATCAATCGGCTTTTTCAGCTTTCGTTTTTCTTTCTGATCAACGAATAGAACTTCCCTAGTATCACGAACTGCGAACCCGCCGATCGAAATGAATCAGAACCAAAAATGAGCAATGTGATCAGATCTAGACTGGTGTGCTCGTTCGACCCCAGCCTTGACCAGCCTCGATAATGCTTTTTTATGTGGCACTGTTTCTGGCAGCTCACTCTGGCTCACACACTTGCGTTTGCTTACAATCGAGTTCTTGCGATCTTACGAAGAGAGTAGAGAGCATGCTGGCACCATCTATGAGGTGGTCCTGGAACTGCATTCCACTAGGGCAAAGGTTTTGCGGTACTTAAAAAAAGTAAATTGTGCGTGCTATCTATGGGAGGAGTGTTTCTTTATAACATTGTCAAAAGTTTTTTCAAGCCAATAAAGAAAGAATGATGCGCGAAATATACAAACGGAAATCCCAAGCATTCCCCAACTGCCCAATAGATGGCGCAAGATGGGCTTTACTCTCGTCGTAAGGGGTCTTGAACACTCGGTAAGCAGTCGCAAGTGCGTGAACCGGCCTTTAGGGAAAAGGACACTGCCTCCGAGGTCTCATGCTTGCTCCAGGCGTGCAGTTGAAGGCTTTGAAGAACCGTTCATGCGCCAACAGCGGAGCGTTGCAGCGCCTGTACATCGACGAATGAACGTCGTCCTGTGCCTGATTGGCCCCGCTGCTGCTCTGGGGGCGGCCCTTGCTGTTGCACCACTTGAAGCACGAGCTCACGTAGAAGAGCTGCTCGTTGCTGAACTGTGCCACGCCGGATGGCGCTTCGGGCAGCATCCTTCGTCGGAACGCCTTGGCTGCCACCTGTACGTGAGCGGAGAGTTTCCCCGGATGCGGCATAGAACGATTGACTGTCTGTTGCGGGTTGAGAATAGCGGGACAGGTACCTTCCTCAAAGCCCTCATCTCTTTTCACTGTGTCATAGCGATCGCTGGAAGTGGATCGAAATCGTTAGTCCATGGAGAGCATAGGGCTTTGTAGGAGGGTCTTCTGTTAACCTCCAACAGGCATGCAACGACGTCATACTGGCTACCATTGAGATGATCTCGTTGCTGAGCGGATACTTTCTGTTGTCATTTCGCACCCCGAAATTAGTTCTCCTTGTCAAGAACAAGTGGAAATTACCGCCAGCCGGTGAAAGGGCATACTATATTTTGTTTCAACGTAACTCGGCAAGGACTACAGTCATATAACGAGCCAGAGCTATGCATGTGACAGCATACCGTCGACGTACATTCCAACACACTCACTTGCCATCACGTGCTTCGCCATTTACCAAGTGATGCTGAGGCCAGAGGGAGGGGGAAGTGGTGACATCCGGTTCCGGTAAGTCGTCTGTAGCCACGACCCATTTCTGCGCTCTCCCTAGTTGTTTGCATGTAACCAATTTTTCATTGGCATGGCGCAGCTCGATCAGGACGTAAATGGACTCGAGTGAGCTGTAGAATCCTGCCTCCACGCACAGACAGCATATACTACAGGGGGTTTTCACATGACGTCAATCCACTATTTTGTTGTTAAAATGAGTGAATGATAAAATGTTTTAGTTATCAGGGAAAAAAAACGGGCACGATGAAAAAAGTTTTTGTGCACTACCGATTTTAAGGGGTGTCACGTGGATGCTCGAAACACTCGCCCTCAGGACGCGCCAGACAACTCCTGACAACAAAATGGTGAGCGAATTACGCTAGTTAAAACGCCCTATTCGGAGCGAAAGTTTTTCCGCTTGTTCAGCATGCAGGGGGTTGTGGTGACACAAGAATGCTGAACTCTAATTGGCTCCGATTGAAAGGATAGTGTGTAGTCCTCAAGACAGCTAGCATTGAGGTCTACCCACTATCCTTCCAATCAGAGACAAGCATGGGGCGATAGTTCGCCAGTCTGGGATTTCTCGCGAAAGCTCCATACCGACAAAAAAAAAAAAAAAAATCCCAAGGTGCGAATTTAGCCAGCGCCATGTAGAAGACAAGGTCTCTTCCTTTCCTGCCCGCCCGCCCGCCCGCCCCCGCCCCCCCCCCCCCTCAGAAAAAAACAAAGCAAAAAACATCGCATAGACTGCGTTAGCATCGCCATCAGCGCGTCTCGCAACGATCTCAACGCTAGCACGCGTGTCGTCGCCAAGGCTGGCCAAGGCTGACGCGTCTGCCACCTTGCGGCGACTTCCGTCGAGTTTTGCCGTGTTTGCCGCTTGGGGCGGGTCGGGACTCTACCCCAACGATGACGTATTGAGCAGGCCTTGTCTTCCGGGCGGCATAGCCCAGGGCAGTGGGCCAGAGGCGTACCGTCAGGCCCAAAGCGTCCGCGTAGTCTTCGCCCTCGGTGACCCAGGGCAGGTTGACGGGCACCAGGTACATGTCACGCAGGCAGAGCTTGCGGTCTTGGATGCGGCTCCGCGTGATCGGCGAGTACCACTCGCGGTACAGGCCGTCAGCGTTGGCCGGAGCAGCGTCCACGTCGAAGGCGTGGCTTACCTCGTGCGCGAGCACGTGCGCCATGCCGCCGTACGTGGCCGCCGGGAGCTGGGGCACCTGAAGGCCGCGGGACAGTTCACTTTTATGATCTAGGATTTTGACGTTGTCTACGTAAGGCCAGCGCAGTGTACTTATTGGACGCGAGCTCTATTCTTAACTATCTAGGTGTCCACCTACAAGCCTTTCTAATGTCCCGCAGTGGGAGGAGCATTTTTGTTATTGAGTGTGTGCCTTCAGTGACCCACGACTTTGACTATCTTTGGTGGTTGTGTATAAACCACACAAAACGGCACGTGACCACGGAGAAGACGGTGAGGGCGACTCAAGCCGCCCAGTTCTCGATCGACGGTTTTCGGGCGGAAAGAAAACGAATTTCGAGCCGCAAATTGTGCTCTGGCTAACCGGGCTCTTCTATGTCATGTACAAATAACAACCTTGGCGAGCATAAACACCTTGCCAGTGTCCCTTTAAGATGTAGGTAGCTCACTGGTTGTCTGAATCTTCAAAACGTTTCCAAATATTCACAGTAAGAACGGCTCTACTGAAGGACACGCGGACTCAGCGTCCTCCCGTAGTGAAGTATACCCCTCCACTACCATTCCCGACGCCCATCACGGAAATTAGGAACACCTCCCGAGACTGACAATCATAAAGTGTTTTGACTCGAGACAGTACAGCGGCAGGAGGGCGGTAGGTACATCAACTCACGAGGAGAGGTGGCAGCATTATCGAGGTTGGTATCACGATGATATGGTAGTAGGGAAGAAAGATGGCATTGACCAGCGGCACCGAGAACCAATCGTTGTCTTGTCGAGCCATGGCTTTCTTGAGGAACCGATTCCTCTGAACGCGGACCATTCGCTTCGTCTCCATGTAGGCACGGCCGAAAGGAGGCTTTACGGTTTCGCGCTGAAATAATAAAAAAAAAAAAATACTATTAGAGAAAAAAGATGTCTCAGTATACGCTCTGTAAGCTGACAAATGTCTGTCATTTGCACATGTAAAATATATTGAAATTAAGGATGGGCAGGTCAGTACCCGGACAACATCGAGACACTGTAAGCGCGGCTACGAAGTAGTCAAAAACTTAAGCGCGTTAATAGGCAGGCGCGTAATTAGCAGTCGATCTTTTATGCCGTGTTGCAAGTTTCCGAACTCGTAGCGGCTAAAATATTCACACTTTAGTAGGTTCAGCATCAACACCTATTAGCGGCGAGATGTTTTGGTGGCGCCCTCTTATGGTTCCCCCTTGTGACGTCATTACCTTGCAAACAACAAGTTCGATGGTGTTTGTTATTAGCATGGTGGAAGCTTGAAATCATTGCGCTCTCAAAGCAACACTGCCAACACCGTCAAAATTAAAGTTCTTTCATTCCTCTTATTTCCGTCGATGATAAATCCCCTTTCCGACGTCATAGTCATCGTTCGGCCAATCGTGGAAGGCCGACCACAGTGACGCTTTCGGTCGCGCACGTCGCCAATACTTCCTATCACCGTATAAGTGAGAGCCCAGTAAGTCTAGAAAAAAAACGCAGAGACGCACAGACTGAAACCGGCCGACGCACGGTACTCCCACCGAAGGGCGGCCAAGTAGAAGCTCAACGGCTATCAGCAGCACAGCTAATTCCACGGTGGAAAAAGAGGCGTTTGAACGGCGCGTCTTCGCCATGGAACGAGTGTGTCGAAGGTTCGCTCGCATTTCTGACAAACGCCGTTCCGGAACATGACGGGGGCTCGAGGAACTGGCCTTTTTCGAGCGCACATCCTCAAGAACGCCCGGTGGCCCTGCGGGGAGATGCGCAAAGCCCGAGTGAAATTTCGTCCCCATTTCTGGCCTTGCTTGGACGCCTCTTCCTTATTCCAAAAATTCAAAGGGGAAACCCCGGGGTACGCGTCCAGTCATTCCGATTACGCAAAAGCTGTTGGCCCCGCGGCCATTGGATTTTCCCGGAGTTAGAAACGTTCCCCAGTAAAGTATTCGGTGGGTCTTAGGTACGACCTAACCCTCGGTTTCTTTCCATGTCATGGCGACAAAGTATACTGCCGCCTTTGTCAATTTCCCCGCTCCGGCTTTCGACCTCTTGTGCTAATCTTTTGTTTTCGTGTCGACTGCGCATCGTAGGAAGTTTCGATGTACCAGAAAGGAATAGCGAGTCTCCAGACTGTGCTTGGTGGCGGCGATGCTCGGATAAGCGACGATGTTCCTGAGTGCTCGCAGGCGGTCCAGGGCTATGCTCTTGGTAGACTCGTCCATCCAGTCGAAAAAATGGGACATGGACTCCCGAACGTCGTCCAGGAGGCTGCTGGTGGCTTTCCAGTCGTCTGGAGTCACGTGCTGTTCGGTCAAGAACCAACTTAGCGGGTAGTCCGCCATTTCCGAGACGAGGTCCAGGCACTGGTACACGGCCTACAAGAAGAGGCGTAGCACAGCGGACAGAAGGCACATTAAACTGGTATTTGTTCGCTAAATTGATAGACCCTTTTCAAAAGTGCTCGCAATCGTGCAGAGCCTATGCGAACATTTTCCGACTCCACCATTTGTTTTTCTTTGACGCGTATTTTGTAGATGTGTTGGACTCGAGCCCTGCCTCAGTGTTTGGCGAGGTAAAGAAAAATACTCTACTTCTATGCAGTAAACGTAAAAACACAATTTTCCGGAGTCTTTCGTTCAGATCACAACTATCTCTCTTTCCCATCTTTAAACACTAAGAAAGTAGCAAACTGAAGCATGTTTAGGGAATGAAAATAGAAGAGTTATCATTCATGCACAGGTGTTCGAGATCAAAATGTTTTGGAAGATTTAATAGCAAAAATAGTTCAAGATTGTTCTGGAAGGTAACATTTTTGTTTCATGTTTAATGTTTATAATGTACCTTCCAAAACACGTGAACTTTTTTTTTGCTTTCTTCCACTTGCTTAGCACTAAATTTGTTAGTATACACACGTTCTCAAAAAAACCGCACATGGGTCTTCGTTGAGACAAAATTACGGGACGACAGAAATTAACCTCTCAGACGGGAATGTCCCTGTCGAAATCGGACGCCTGCCCACCCTATCTCGGGTGTCCGAATCAACGGCAGGCGGAAGTAGAGCAGTGCTCCCGCCTATCTTTCGAGGCCCGACCCGGCCCGGGGCTGTTCCCAAGTCTCACCCGACCGAGGTCCGGCTTGATGGGATGCATACCTGATCTGGCACGGCCCGAGCCCTGCCCGGCCTGAGATTTCTCGACAATGGGAGAAAATGTTTGCCGTGGTCTCGGGCCCTGCTCAGGCCCGAGAACGACGCGTAGTACCCGGCTCGGCACCACCCGCGGGCCGGTGCAGAGCTGAAGAACACTCATTCAGGTACGTTAAAGCGGGTTGGCTGGGTATATGCTGGTTGTCCTAAATGACGGCTAGAGAAAGTACCCGCGAAAGTGGGTCCTGGGCGTTGGCGAAGACCCGGTGTGTAAGCGCGGCTCCCATGTGGTACGCCAGCACCCAGCCAGCCATGGAGGCCACGGAATGCTGCCTCCTCAGGGACTCGAAACTCCTCACGAAGTCTCCAATGTTCCTGCGGATCAGTTACAGTGGTATAAAAATGGTGCCCAAATCGCAGCGTAGGTTCTCATTGAAATGCGATAAAATGTAGCACCGTCTTGCACGTGCGTTTACATTCCTTTATTAAACTGCTTAGGAAATGCCGTAGAAATTCTAGCAATATTTTTCGTTAACATCTATGAAGTCTTCAATCGCCTGTAAAACCAAATCACACGATTGCTTGATCTAACTGTTCACTTCCCGCGACCAACCAACGACTTTTGTTGCGGCATTACTACAATTCGAAATGTTTCTATTCAACTATATGAACATAAACATGTGTGTAGAAACATAAGACCCTTCATAACAGTATTTAAGAAGATCGTGATTTATATAACACTTTTTTTTGCACAAATGAAGAAGGCAATATAGCAGATGCGTGCCTCCTGCTTCATTGGTTACAAACCAAGCCACGGACGCGAAAGTACGTCCTGTTCGCTCATGAATGCCACCGCATTTAAAAGCCTGGGAATATCTGCGACACACGCGTTTTTGCGTACTGCGCAAGCCGTCAACCTCTGGTCCTTGCAAATCACCTAAACGCATAAAGGAGAAAGATTAGTGGAGGCATAGGCGCATACCTGTGGATATTCCACGTGGATATCCGTGGGGATCCCCAATCAAATGAGCGGATTCGAGAAAATACTGAGCAAGTTTTGTGGAACGCGGATTGCATGAGGATCAGGGGCAAAGCTGCTGCTGGTACATAGTCGAAATTTTTTTTTCTACTTAGTTTATTTTTTAGTAACTGGAGGCATCATTTTCTTTCTTCAATTTCGTAATAACTAAATTTAGCGATACTAAGTAGCACACAGCAAAGGATAAAGGCCTGAGATTTCGAAGATATAGTTAGTTGGGGTAGCTAAAAATAATCGCCTGCATTTCCGCACCATATTTGCCGTACGGACGTGAGTAAGTTTTTCTTCCGATTTTGGTCCACTTTGAACCGATTTATGTCCTAGGAAGAAGCTCATGATGTAGGTTCCAGGATGCAGTCACTCACGCCCTCTGTCAGTCGAGGCACCCGCTGCTTTTGTTTTAGTCCCGAATCTCCCGAACAACAAGAAGGGGAAGGAGCCGATGGGGAGAAGGAAAGTCGCGCTGTATCGTTCTCGGCAGCGTGGTTTATCTCCTCGCTGAAATCGTATACGCACAGGTCGACTCTGATACGATTTTCAAAAATCGTGCACATCTCTTTTTGCCGTGCGCGGCCGAAATCGTGTCCTGTGAGAACAGCCTTCATCCAAACCGGGCTACGAACTTTGGGTCGTCATGGAAACAGCGTTAACGGTACCTCAGGAAGCCTTCGTCCAAGAAATGCATCTCGTCGTCGAGGCCGAGGCTGACGCCCTCGGGAAGGTAACGGTTGATCGCTGCCAGCCAGCGCTCAGTCGTGAGTAGGCCCCGAGACAACAGGCTCACGTCTGCGAAAAAGACCCTTTGATCGTGAAAGTTTTCGCTCTTGTCCGTTCTAAAAAATGGCAGGCAACCTTCTGTTTGTTTATATTACGCAGAAAAAAAAAAGTATTATCGTAAAAAAAGAAATAGCTAAAAATCTCGGCGCAATTAAATGTCATCAAGTCAGGGGCACTGAGCGACGTAGTAAGCGCAAACATGACCTTTTTTGGGGTTTTACGAACGAAGGGGTGTGGCCGCTCCTGAACTGGAACCAGCGTCACCTAAAACTACCAAAGCCCACAGCGGCGTACGAAAACCAGCACAGTGGCTTTGCCATCTAGGAAGTGTTGTTGTCTAACAGCTGAAAAGAACCAAATACAACGAAGCTCAGTCAATACCACACTATAGTAGAGAAGGCCTGCACCTTTGCCCCCAAAACGTCATTACTAGTGGATCCACGCAGCGCTCGCTTGGGGCGAATCGAAGATCCGCTAACGATGACGTCACGCAGAGGCCTTGTCTCCTAGGTGGTATTGCAGCTCAGTAACCCGCATCATGGACGATGAGGCCCAGTGTATACTTACCTTTCATTTTGATATAGGCGGGCTTTCCCGCGTCTCCGACCGAGTCTTTGGATAACAGCAACGAGAAGGCACTGACAGCAGCTTCGATTACCTTGGAGACGAGAACGCCCGATTACAAGACTGTAAGAACTAAGCCTAACGTGGGCACACGGTTTCGGACACGGTCAATTTGATCTTTGTTTTGTTCTTGTTTTTTTTTCCCCGTTAGAGCGGTCTAGATTGCGAGAGTCCTACCAGAAATTTCAGCTGTCTGAAGCACTTGGTGTGCGCTTGCAAAGTACTACGTGGCAAAAGCTGCCTGTGTTTTCGGTGCATGCCAAAGGATCTCTAAATGCATCGCATTTATACGTCCTCTGACGTTCTGGTGTCCCGTGACCACTAGGCGTGACGCGAGGCCGCGTGACGTGACCGCATGACGTCGCTGTGTCATTCGACCTCATGGTGTCAGAGTTTCAAGTTGCGCCAAGTTACCGTCATGGAACAACAAGGTCACGCGGCCCTGCGGCCATGACGAAGTTACTGTGTCACGTGACATCGCGGTGTGACGTAAACGAAACATCACGTGTCACAATGACGTCGGCGTCACGTGACGATTATCACGCCTATGAAAGTACTCAGGTGACAGACACCATGAGGTTGTCGACGCTATAGACGCCAGGAGCGCTGATTGGCTCTGATGGAAGGACAGTGAGTAGGCCTCAAAGCAAGCTGCCTTGTGGTCTACCCACTATCCCTCCAATTGGAGCCAATCAGAGCTCGGCGTTCTGACGTCACCGCAACCCCCGCGGCAAAAGCAGACGAACTTATACTCGCCGTATTGGCTTCGAATATTTCCGAAAGGGAAAGCTTACGAGTTTACTGCTATATTTCGTCCCACCAGACATGAAACGACAGCCGAAGCTGCGAGTTGCCAGGACCAATCGCGGAGCCCCATGCCCCATCGCTTCTCTTTCTCTCCCCGGCTATAAGGGAAAGAAATGTAGCGAGTAACTGTCACCAATTCGTTACTGGCAACGTAACAGTGAATTAAATTACGAGTTGCACTTTCATAAATGAGTGAGTTCATTACTAAGTTGCATTAAATAACGGATTACAAGTAACTTTGCTATTTGAACTTCAGATTGGGCGAGTTGGTTGTTCATGTTAATCGACGTTGCAGTGCAATCAAGAAACAATCACTCAAACTTTCACACAGACAAGTAACAAAACTCTCACGCATCACGCAATACAAAGTTGTTAGTGAGCGCTGTGTGAGAGTTTTGTTCCTTGTGTGTGTGAAAGCGTGAGTGACAGTTTTTTTTTAGCGCTCTGCAACTTTGACCAACATGACTTTGTTAGTTCCAACACGTTAACTCCCATCTGGTGCCATGCAATAATCAGGAGGTACATAAAAGGCATTCGATAAGATGAGAGCACGGCATACAAATATACCAGTAAGGGCATGGCCTTATGAGCATTTGGATAACCAAGGCATTTCTTTGTTTACATGTTGATCATCATTTCCTTTTGAGTATAGACGCTTTACACACGCGCCAGAATACAGCCGCCATTGCTGACCTTCTCTTGTTTTACCGAGATACCGTGGCACTGAAATTGGTGTGGACGAGCCTCCACAAAAGCCAATGCTGGGGAGAAAGACAGAATAAAATCTAAGATGGCAATAACCTAGCCTGCTATGGTAATAATGAAGTGAAGTAAACGTAATAAGGGAAAACAAAAACTGAAGGTCAGTTATGGCGGTGCGCATGCACAGCTGCTGCAAAGCGTCTATAGCTGGCTCGTTGGTCTAGGGGTATGATTCTCGCTTCGGGTGCGAGAGGTCCCGGGTTCAAATCCCGGACGAGCCCTTTTTTTAATCAATCCCGCGTGGTTTTACTTTTTTGATTCTAAGCTGAGTCTGGGGTAAACGGGCCGAAATTTCGAGCAGTGGAAGGTTTGAGCACATGCACATTTTTATTGAGCCATCCTCCTTAGGTATACTCTTTCTCGAGGTCGTCACTTAACTAGACAAAGGACGAACAACATTAATACGGCATTTGAATACCACTAAACAGTTACAAAAAAAAAGCTAAATGTTTGGGCAGTTTTAGACGCAAGTGATGAAGAACTCCTTGCTACTTTGCCTCTAAGAGAAAACAAAATACCCAGTTCTTTAACAATAAACTGTCGTAGTACGCTCAACGTAGGGCGTTGTCAGAACAACAGGGCAAAAACACCAACCCGACAAAACAGGCAGCTCTGCTACAAAGTGGAAGGGGACTCTCAGCAACTCGTACAAGTCTACTGTTAAGGTATCCAATAAAAAAAACCTAGAATATTGGTGGAAGAAGAGTAATCTCAGGACTCATTAAGGCTCACGTTCTTCCAAGCTTGAGCACAATTTTAGTTTAAAAGGGCGATGCAACAATTTTGTTTACTTTCAGTATAACCGCTTAGAATTATTCTTTGACTTGGCTACACGTCACTACGCACGTGACTCCCATATTCACGCGATGCATCTTTCTAGGGAGCAACCGTTTAGAGAAAACCGGAATTTCGCGAAATCGGCCTGTTCACACGTAGAGTTTGACGCGCGAAACCTGTGACGTACGAAGTGTGATAAAAATGTTCCGGGACTGGTTTTGTAATGTAAAAAGATAAGGCTCCAATCTACGCTGTGAACGTTGTTCAACACCGAAGCTGTTGTGTCACCTGCAACGATTGCCCACTGTACTATATATAGACCCTTTTTACGGTAGACGCAACCAGGTGGTGCTCTAGTCTTAGTTGTGCCAGAGAACTTCCGGTTTCTAAAAAGAATGAACAAAGGTTACTTTAACACCGCTGCTTGACATGTAGATGAAACGTTTAACCATCAATTTTCCAGGTGAACGCAAAAAAAATGAAGGAGTGCGAGACCCGTGTTAAAATGTTTCGAGTATTCTTTCCGCGTGCAGCGGTGTCTAATAGCTTTATTGCCTCAAAACTCTATCGTAGTACGTGTTGCAGGTGTTACACTACTCGCGTGTCAATATCCAGCGTATGCACCTTGTGTTTGCTATTTTTATTTGGAGCTCGGTATGGGAGAGGACAAGCCGAACCAATCTTTTTCGTCGTGTCAAAGATGGCGGGCTGGGTCTGTCACATCCTTTTGTCAGACAACTTGTGAATCGGTTTGTTTTTCTAGGGGACCAGAAGGACCCTTATCTGCGTTCAGTCATTCAGGTACGTTTGAGAAGTGCATTCCCCGAGTTTACTGTTTCGTCGGATACTGATTTCAGTCCTGCTGTACGCTGTATTTTGGAAGAGGCCGTGGCTGCGTATATCTTCTTTGCAAGCGCGTTTTTCGCTGGAGTATTTCTAGTGTGTGGCGGTAGTGCTTGATCAAAGTTCTGGTTGCTTCACTTTTCCTACTCCCCTGTACCGTTTGTTGTACAGTGCGGGACGTGGCCAGGATTTTTTGAAACGTATTAAGCGAATGAGGCCGGGTCTCCGTCTACAAGAGGACCTTTGTTTCTCTTCCAATTGCATGGTCAAACCCTGCCGGCCAAAGACGTTTTGGAGGGAAGGGGTATTCCCGTTGCTCGTTTGGTGAGCTGTTTGTTTTGCTAAGTTTCAAAGACGATAGAACACGCGTTCCTAAAGTGATGAGACGCAGTGTGCTTTTGGGACGTCCTTCAAAGGACTTCAAAAGAACAGTATTCCGTTTACGCCTCACGGCATCCGCCATCAGTTTGTGGAGGGAGGGGACAGCCTTGTACTTTATGAAATGATCATGCGTGTCGGCCACCGTAGTTTAACTTTGTGGCGATACCGTTTGGCGGACAGACACGCCGACATCGACGTGCGCCCTGCGTTTAAGTGTTTTGTAGAAACGATGTGCTGTATTTTTAAGGAAATGCTTGAGCTACAGCTGCCTCCTCCTGACTTTCTGCCACTTCTCGAGGAGCTGGCGACCTTCAAAGATGTTTGACTCTTTGACTGATTCAGGCACTGTGTGTCTATTGTTTTTTTTGTGATCTGTACGGCACCATATGCCAAAACCAGGCAATAAAGAAAACCGATTGTCTGCGTGGCCTAGTCAGTGTCTAGCTTGCAACAGGAGGATCATGGGTCCGAATACCGGCCCCGCCTACTAGTTTTCAAATATTTACTTTAAGGCGAATGAACTACTTATGAGCCAATCAAGATTTTCCCGTCCCAGCGACGCCGGAATTGTGGGCGATAAATACAACTTTTTATGGAACTAACGCGCGCAGGCAAAATTGGTTTTCAGTTTATTACTCCAGACGTGACAAGGAACTACTCCCACAATTACTCGACTCAAGATTACAAATTGTCGTTACTTTCGCTGGATATACCTTTGCGGTGTGATGCCCTGAATTTATTTATATTTATTTATTATAAGGAAAATCAGTCGAAGTTCCTAACCACCTGCACGGAATGGGGTTCATACAGCTAATTTCCATGGTTTCCATAAGGGGATCATTACAGCTAATTTCCATTGTTGAACTGGTATTTCAGAGGAAACAGAGTTCCAAAAAATGACAGGTAAAATTTCAAAGCAAATACCGATGTAAAAAATGAAAGACGTTTACAATACCATTGTAATACCGAATTCGAGCGCATCCCTTGAGGAGGAGGAGGGGAGGGTATGCCCCTCCTCCTCCTCCATGCCCTCACCTTCCCTCCTCCCTCCCTTCTCCACCGTGATGTCACTCGTGATCCTCAGGAGGTCATTCGTGACCCTTATGACGTCACTCGTAACCTTAGTGACGTCATTCGTGACCATCGTGACGTTACACGTGACGTCACGTGTGACGTCATTATGGGACACGTCCCATAATGCAACGCGCGGTTACGCCGACGGCGACGCCGCTCAAGCCAGAAATGGGCGCCTAAAAGCTGCGATCTAAAATTTCGAACCCCGTCGTAGTCAGGGCTTTCTCACGTTTGGGATTAATAAGACTAAGAGATCCAGACAAAACTTATCTCAACATGCAATAAAGCGGTTAATCATCATCAAACGTCTAATTGCCTCCGGATTATTAATCTGTTTATAAAGGTATCTCATAAGTTTTTCCCAATTGAAAGCACGCTTTCAACGATGATGCTTTAAAAAGCATCGTAGTTTTTTTAAAAGTGCTTTAAAGATGATTTAAAAAGAGCGGCTGAAAGTTTTCATTGTCATATTTACCATAAAATGCTCGTAATACTTTTTTACCTTTTTGTTATCTTTTACTGACAGTAATATCGACAAAGCCTCGAGGATAACGAAATAAATTAAAAATGCAAAGGAAGAAGGTACAATTATAGAAAGAAGAAGAAAAGAAGTCAAAGAAGCAAGATAAATAAAGGCATGTCACTGTAATTGAAAACTCTGGTTTCTATCATTCCTACAGGTTTTTACGACGCCTGATTTGCTGTACAGTTCGGACTCTTGGCTTCGCGAGTTTTCGCGACACCTTAAGTTAAATGGAATCTCCCCGTTTGGTCCGCCGCTTCGAAGTATATAATAAATTACTAGGCGACTAAAACGTCCTCACCTTTAATGAAAAGCGACCGTAGTCTAGCCCCGGCTCGAGGATCCTGGGAACTTGGGCGAACCAAATGTCTTTGTCGATGGTCTTGAACCACTGTGCGATCCAGGTGGTCAACGGCTCACTCCTGCTGATGCGCAGAATGGTCCCGTTGTCGGTGCGCAGATCGGTTGTTACCTAAGCAGGGCCAAGGAAGCCGTCGAGTGTTCTTCAGCAACAATCAGGTAAGACCTCTGGTTATTATGAACGAGAAACCAGTTCCTTCAGATATGCCTCTATATACTCTGTATGTGCACCTCAGACAACGCTACGATTTGATGAAGCCAATCAAACCAGTCATTTCTCTACGTTTGCTATCACCACACAAACCAATAACGCGCCGAGACTGCGATGTTCGGCGATTTCCTCATGTGCATGATTAGTTTATAGCTGTTAATAACAAAATCCGAAAAAAACGGCGAGCCGCTTGACTGGTCATGAATCATGGCGTTTTAATGTTAAACGGTGTGTAGACATTAGTGCACCGTAATTGAGTCGCGAGAATAAATGCAATACCTGTTAAATGGTTGAAGCACTCGTGACGCCAGGATGCGCAAAAACAGCAGCGGACTCAGTTATGCAACTTGGCACTGGCGTGACGCCAGGACTCACCTCGACATCGAAAAGTAGAGGAATGCCCCATTTCAAGGCCGAGCCCATGGCCAACTCGAGGATGTCGAAGATCTCGCCGTCCTTCACCTGTGGCCAGCTGAATCCGAAAGTTCGCAGAATCTCGTAGAAGGGCGAGAAATCTTCAGACTTCCTCATGTGCGTCAGCAGACAGTAGCGAAACGCCTCCCCAGCGTGGTCGGACACGGAGTACTGTTGGGGGTCAACTGAAACGGAGCCAGTGTGTTCATTCGATAAAATAATTGACGAAAAGAGTGACGAGTTCCTCGAGGTCATGGCTCATTGATTCATCGAGTATTTGTCAAAGCCTGTCTCATCACTGAGTGTTGTCATGGCAAAAGTCATGGCCATACACGAAGTGACAGCGTGCTAATACTTCTAGGAGCTACCTTAGTTTCGGTTCCCATGTGGAGACATCAGAAATGATGGATGCACGAGCAAAGGCCAGTGTGCTGAAATCCGCCAATGTGCACCCTACAATAAGATAAAATAACCGGCCGTTTATGATATCGGAAATACGTACACTGCAAACATAAAGAAGAGATGAGCACAAGAGTCGCGGACACAGAGGAGCTACGGTGCATAAACTATACCAAGAGCTGCTAGCTAACAACTTCGATTAGCTGAAAACAAATCTGAGCCGATTAAGCTGTACACACTGCGGACTAGCCTCAACACTCTTCGCACGAAAACTGCATTAGGTCCTCGACGCTCAAGTGCTCGTATTGGCTTCGATACAAGTTTCCGTTCGCAAGATGTCCTGGTACACGAACTATTTTCAAGACGGAACGAATTGATGAGCACAGCCTTTCGGGACATAAAGCGAATATGGTACACAAACTACCAAGGGCAGCAAATGACCACGTCAACCACCTGGGACACGGTCTTGAGACCGTGTGCCAGCTGGGCCTTTAAACAGAAGGCTGTTGGCACCTCGACAGGCAACATATTTTGCCCTTTGCGCCAATGAACTATTCCAGAAAAAAAAAAAATGAAAGCAACGTTCTCTTCTCAATATGATTTTTTTGTAAAACATTAATTGTTTGACTACACTTCACTAATTGTATTGAAAACAGGAGTTCCAGCAGACTGATGACAAAGCAGTTGTGTCCAATCTGGGCTCCGAGAGAAGGCGTAAAGGTTACGGCACAACGGCCCTCCTATTCTCAAGGTGTTACGTCAACAGCCCTAATCTTTCGCAACGTCACGGTGACAGTGGCGGAACTCACCGTATCGTGCTTGCTCGAGCTTCTTAAAAGCAGCAATAAGGATGTCCGATTGCAGCCGAGAGAACTCATTCGACTGTTCAGGATGACTCTGCGGCCAGCGCCCGCACACGAAACTGTAGAAGTCGTTGCACGGGTTTGCCGAGAGATCCAACGACATGCGCACTTCGGTGCTGTAGTCGTACTTCCGACCACGATGGAGCTTGAGGGTGCGACTGCCCCGAAAGATGTCCCTCAGGTGCCATTGTCTGTGACCCCGGTCGAATTTTGACGTTTATAAAAGAACAAGTGCGAGCTACCCTACGCTTCTTTACGAAAAAAGATGAGTCATCTAGCGAACGTATGAATTATAATCAGATATCAAGTTTCCACCATACTGCAGAGGGTTCCCGTGCCTATGGTTTCGCCCAAGGGACATTGAACGCGGCAAAGTTGGAGTCGTAGATCAAAAACGCGATCACTTACTGCCAGTCCAGTGCAACCCCTCATGCACTCTCCAATAAAGATCGTTCATTTACCTGGATGGCTGCAGGTAAGGGACCGAATCACAAGGCCCAATCAGTTATTAGATTGGCTCCACATCATTGGATTATGGTTCCTCCGCTGTCCATCGTAAAGTAAAAGGGAGCATGGGAGGGGAAAGCTGGACGCCATATTTGTGTGTGCTGCTCACTACACATGCTCAGATAGAGCTCACATTTATAGACTGGACCAGTAACCTTAAATGGGTCATGCAACGATATTCGCTTGGAATGCTTTTCACTTTATTCGAGCTTACTGGCACTATTGAGACCCAAGGATACTCACGCGCAACGTCACTGACTAAGCAACTCATTTGTTGCAGTTTCATTTCAAAGACAAAAGCGAGCGTTTTCTTTCATTCTCTCCTTCTCAGAACGTGATGACGTAACTGGGGGATCGCAGTACCCCCCCCCCCCCCCTCCCCCCAATGACGATATTTGAACGCGGCTCATAGATTGAACCCGAGCATTGCGTGAGCACTCCATATGGGCTCGTGATAATCGATAGCTCGAGAAGCATTCGGGTTGTGGCCCTTGTCCAATCGCTGCCATGACGACAGTAGCCGAACCATAACAATGTTCGTAACTCAAGGCGTGTCTTGTGCTTTACAATTGAAAACGACCGTGTTGGTTAATAGATACAAAACTTGAAAGTTTAAAGAAAGGACGAGGACGGGAACAGGGCATCTTTCAAATGGCACATGGCCTCTGTCGCCATGTGCCATTTGAAAGACGTCCTGTTCCCGTCCTCGTCCTCTCTGTTTTATATTTTCAAATTTTGTGTCCTCTGCTTTGTCAACCCCAGAACGTGGCTATGATCAACTATTAGCGGCATGTAGATTTTTCCAAAGAAGAGTTGGTTGCCGGTGGCATTTTGAGTGTTCGTACGTATGGCGCGTGCTTTGCTCGCTTTTCAAAACGGCAAATACGCACCTGAAGGGCAATGAAGATCGCAAGCTGTACTGCGGTTTTGTAAACATTGAAAAGGTCTATAATCGGCTCTAGATCACGCGGCAGCCCGTTCTGACTGCGAGCAGAAGAAGTAAACGCTCCTCATTTTTCTTTACTTCTTTTTGCGACTTCTATTGCGTGTGCTGAAAAACGTACTCGTGTTTCCTAGGTCATTAACGCAGGGATTCGTTCTAAGCGATATTTACGTAAAGTGCAAAAATCGTTTGAAGGTGTACATTTCGGCAGACGTCTGCCTGGTTGGGTTAAATGTTATAAATAAATAAAGGGCATTATTTAGTTTTTTTTTTAGGTTTTAAAAGAAAGAAGCTGCTTCTCTTTTAAAGAGCCCCCCTGAAGAAGGTGCCGAACCGGCACCGAAACGTTGGGACCCTACGATCTTTTAGGGATTGGTTGGCGTTTGCCCTTCATTTATTTATAGCAAAAATCGTTGCATCGCCCCTTGAATGATGTAAAGTGCACGTTACAAAAAAACTGTAGAAGCTCTCCTTCACCACGTGCTCAGCAGGTGCAAACTCAGCTAGTGCACTAACGTCAGATCAAAGGCCACCGTGGTGACCTCGCTGCTGAGCACCTTGCACCATGCACTTGGCACCACCGAATTTAATTTTCTCGGCAAGCACAAGAGGGAATCACCTCCCGCATGGTGCGGTATCACGTACAAGCCATGTATAGACAATAGACCGATCTCACCAACCGGTTTTCTTGCGCCGCCGCTGCCGAAATTCATCGGGGGATCTTTAGTCTTTCTGCGCGTGGGACAAGCTCACTGGAGCTCTGCGTCCACAGAGGACGAGATGGCACGAGTGTCTCGTGCACGGCCGCCTGCCTCCTGCAAACTAAAGTTATAGCGGCGTCACGCATGAGTGGATCGCTTAGTCAGATGGGTCTATTGCAAGCATGGTGTCCCGACTGGTACCCCATGCCTGCAAACACGTGACACGTGCGCTTGGATGTAGCTTTGACGAGCTTGCAATTGCACGGGCGTGCACTCACGACCAGAAGCATGGCGGCGGCCAGTTGTTCTAGTTGCAATCGTCTGATCCAAAGCGTCGCTATGATTGGCCCACCAAAATTGGCCGAATGCTGACTATGACGTCAGCAAAGGATATCAAATCGACGTAAATAAGAGGGATGTAACAACTTCAATTTTGTCGGTGTGGGCAGTGTTACATTGAGAGCGCTATGATTTTAGGCTTTCACCATGCTCATTAGACACCATTGAAGTTGTTCTTCACAAGGTAATGACGTCACGAAAGCTAACCAAACGAGGGCGCCACCGAAACATCTCGCCCCTAATAGCAGTAGTTCTCAACCATCGATATTTCGCGGACCACTTGTGGATCGGCGGAGATGATGGAGGACGCCGTTCGTGGTAAGGGGAGGGGGAAGGCATAGGTTAAATGTAATAATGATATAATAAATGGATATAAGTAAGGGCTAGAGTGAAGTAGATTTCTCTTATTGACATACACACGAGGTAGCTCGCCCGAAAATTTAAAAATGCCTTCTCGATCTGAAAGAGGACAACTTTTATTGCCGGGCTTGACTGATGAAGCAGGGCTTCGCGGACCCCCATTTGAGAACCATTGGTCTATAGGGTGGTTTCATATGACGTACATCCGGTTCGGGTTAACGCCGGACGCCATGTTCATGGGCTTTCGCTGTTCGTCCTGAATCTTCTATGACCGGGCTAGCGCACACCCAGCTCGGGGCACGTGGAGCGAAAGCTCGCGCTGCAGAACCCAGGGATCCTGGGTTCATTCCCCGCCCCTACCTGTTTCGATCTGGATGAGCATTGTACCGGCGTGCAGTCGTCTATCACTACCGCGTGGTGCACGTTAAAGACCCCCAGGCTACCGGTTGTACTGCACTGGCTAAATTGCTCATATACATGCTGGGAGACAAGTCGCTCGTTGGGGCAGACTACCGTTCTAGGCTGCATAAACATAAACACACTCCAATTTGTTTTGTCATCCACAAGCCACTAGCAATGTTCGCGTGTTTTACCAACATCAAAAATCGTCGCCAATGACATGCAAACCAATACAGACGCTGGTTAGCAACATGGCGCAATGCGGTGCACAGATAGTGAAAAAACGCTTCGTGTAACCGCCCAATCGAGCACAATTCGAATTTTAACCTCACCTGTCTAATTGGAGGCTCCATGAATCAGCATCGCGACGCGGGAACAGGGCTGCTCCCAAGATTATTAGGCCTATTACGGCAAAGGCCGCGCAGATGACGAAAACCAAACCGGAGGATTTGAAGAAGGCCGCCGCGTTAGAACGCACCGTGTTAAGGTTGCGTAACCTGCGAATCCCGTGAAAAGTATATCCGCTCGGATTAATGGCGGCAGATTACCGGAATGCGGAGAGTTTGAGCAGATGTGAATGGTATGGGCGCAATGATTGCGTAAGATTGACTCACAATATCTGAAGTGGAGTCATTGCTTCTAGTTGGGTTCTTCTTTTTCTTTCTTGTCAGCGTTCAAAATCTTTGAGCAAAAACATAACAAACATAAAAAAATAGACGCTTTGAACACGCGCGAAATGGAACCGCCATTGCCGACCATGCACCTCTTGTGTTACCGAGATGCCGAGCCACTGAAGCGGGCGTTGACCAGCCTTCACAAAGGCCTATGCTAGGAAGCAGGACACAGTAGCACCTAAAGTGGCAATAACCTGTCGTGCTGTGGCAATGATGAAGTGAGGCGAAGGAATAAAAGGTAACAAAAACTGAAGGTCGCGGTTATGGCGGCGCCCATGCGCAAATGCGAAACAGCTTGGTGGTCTGGCAGCACTGTGCACGCGGCCATCTTGGAAGCGTCAAGAGCCACTAAATGAGCTGCGCTTAGAGTATCGGCACTCCGTTCCCCGACATTATTGTGGGCGCCGTCATTTTGGGTCTTGTGCAGAGCAGACGTAACTGCCGATCGTCATGATTCAAAAGTGCGACTTCCTCGGTATTAGATTCGGTATTAGGGAGGTCATGTAATATTGCTTTGCTCTGTCGCGAACTGTTTGAACATTTGAGGAGGGTGAAAAAAAGTTTCCTGTGATTTCAGATAAAGCGTCAGATAACTGGCAACCATGATTTTGTGATACAATATGGCCAAGTGTCGTTACTCTGAAGCGTAACTTATTTTGTGGCACTAGCAGCTTCAAGTATCTTAAGTTTCGTTTTCTAAGCATTTCCAGGGCATGGGCGCTCTGCCACTAAGTGCGATTCGGAAACTTCATTTCTTTGTAACCTATGATCACCCAACGTGGACAAAAAACTGGGCCGTCATGCCGTTGATCTTTGAGGACACTTTTAATTCCTATTCTATGCGAATAATAAACACGAAGTCGTACTGTTTAGCGGTAGACTGTTCCACGCCAATACATCCGACTCACAGTTAGTTTTTTTTTTTAGTTGTTACTAGCGAAAGTTTTTTTTCTTTGTTGAACGCTCCTTTCTTCTAAAAGCAACTGTGCCCTGGGCAATATTTTTCAGGCGTTGGAGGGTGTGGGGAGTCTTAAGAGGGCAAGGGGTGCTCAGAACCCGCGGTGCGCCGCCCACCACCGAGCCCAACAAGGGGTTAAGTAATGCACCATAACAAAAGGGGCTTTGCTGGAGACGTTACTCTAACAGTGCAGACGGGAAACTATACCCAAGTATGGGTGAAGAAAGATGTCCATTGCCTCCCAAGGGTAGGCCTTGCCGCCAAAGAGGGGTGAAAAAGGAGTAAGAAAAATAAGAGAGAAGTAAACGAAACATGAAAGGTAAAAGTGAAAGGTCGGAGGGGATAGTAGGGGAAAAGGCGACTATACTGAATCATCAATATCATCTGTTGGGCTAGTTGGTTAGACATGATCAGATAAAATTAGCGCAAACGACAAGAGAAGAGAAAGGTAAGACAGGACAGGACAGAGCGCTCTGTCCTGTCCTGTCTTACCTTTCTCTTCTCTTGTCGTTTGCGCTAATTTTATCTGATTATACTGAATCATCCTGGCGGGCCTTACCGGGACTCCCGTCTACGGGAAGTGGGGGCCGAAGTGGTGTA